ATTATATCAACCGATCGTTTTGATTAAAAAATCGTTGATGACGTTTTTATTTTTTAGTTCATAATTTCTTACTGAGTATTTATATTAAAGAAAATATATAAATGTAAAAAAATCTGTATCATAATAATGATTTAATAAATATATATTTATAATATTTATCATAATATTTTATCGTAAATATTTTTTGATAAATATATTTTTGATTTGAATCTATAAGACTCCAAAACATATATTTATAAAATAATTATATGATAAATGTTTAGAAAATATTAAAATAATTATAAATATTGCATAAATATTTTATAAATATTCTGTGCTGTCTGGGATGTGTGTAATTCGAGATGATTATGTACTATATATTTTATCGATAAAGAAAGAAGAAATTTGTCCTCCCTCTTTCATATAAATAAAATATATATGAGATAGAGGGGGGAAAGGGGGGGGGGGAATAAATTTCTTCCGGCTCTGCCGGTAAAACAGTACATGATCATCTCGAATTACATCCTTCTCTCCTCGTTGCTTTACGCATGTTTGATATGGTAAAATTGAACTAATATAAATAATAACATGTCGCTAGCCCTTGGAATGTGTGAAACACCTGGCTGTAACGCTGTTGCGAGTTTACAATGTCCTACTTGCTTGAAAATTGGTATCCAGGGTTCATATTTTTGCAGTCAAGTGAGATACGTTATTTATATGTTTAGGTTATAAGTTATTTTCTCTGATGAAAAATTTTTATTTTGTTATATATATATATCTATATTTATATATATTTGTGCCTGTATCTGTAACGCACGTGTGAAATGTCATCTAATAGTAATTAGAGATTTAATATTTTTATTTTATTTTTTTACTGGCGATAATAAATCTAATTAGTAATTTATTTTTTTATATTTTTATTTACTTTTTTCTTAACAAATTTTTTCACTATAATTAGATATATCATGGATATAAATATGTATGGGCATTCACATACATTTATTTCCTATTTTCTTTATCCTTCCTACATATCAGGTTTTACATTTCTTCATAAATGAGAAAAAATAGACATAAGAGAGAGAGAGCGAGAGAAATTGACCAATTAACGCAGCGTTTTTAATCTTCTAGGATTGTTTCAAGGGAAGTTGGAAAACACATAAAGTTATTCATCAATTAGCAAGTAAATATCGAACTATAAATATGTATTGTTAACTTTTACAAATTTCTCTTTTATTATGTCTCTAATATTCATATGTAATTGCAGAAGGAGAAAATGGAAACAAAGTTTCCGACAATTATAATCCCTGGCCAAACTACAATTATACAGGAAAATTGCGACCGCATAAGAAGGAACAACGCAGGGAGGTTCCTGATTGCATCAATCGACCAGACTATGCCTTACATCCGACTGGAGTACCACTTAGTGAACAAGCCGTAAGAGGTTCTGGTCAAATAAAAGTTCTTGATGATGAGGAAATTGAAGGCATGAGGGTTGCGTGCAAGGTATTATGCTGCTCAAATGATAGGATGTAAATAAATTTGGTTCTACGTCACACTGCGTAGCAAAAGCTTCTATTAAATATAAAAGAATAATATAAACGTTTCAAAGAATTAAAACTAAATAATAATATTTATGCACGCATTTAGATACTGTATTAATAGCAGCTTTTTGCTAGTGCAATGATCAAATTTGCTAATAGATAAGATGAAGAAGGAAAATAAAATTCATCCCGATCATAAATACAACAAATTTAAATTAATTTGTGTAGCTCGGTCGAGAAGTATTGGATGAAGCTGCAAAGACATGTGACGTTGGCGTTACTACTGCTGAAATTGATAGAGTAGTGCACGAAGCTTGCATTGAAAGGGATTGCTACCCATCGCCATTAAATTATTATCAGTTTCCAGCTAGCTGTTGTACTTCTGTCAATGAAGTGATTTGTCATGGTATACCTGATACCCGACCTTTACAGGATGGAGATATTTGTAATGGTACATACATGTTTTTATATTGTTAACATATTAACAATTGTTATAGTTTTTTTTTACCAAAAATATTCCAGATATGTTCTAATCGTGATTTTTTTCTCAGTTGATGTTACAGTATATCACAATGGTTTTCATGGAGATTTAAACGAGACCTTTTTGGTGGGTAATGTAAAACCGGAAGTGAAGAAATTGGTGGAGGTGACATACGAATGTCTGTCTAAAGCTATTGATATTGTGAAGCCTGGTGAAAAATACCGAGAGATTGGTAATGTCATTCAAAAACACGCTCAGGCTCATGGCTTCAGTGTGGTTCGCAACTATTGTGGTCATGGAATTCATCGTTTGTTTCACACCGCGCCAAATGTTCCGCACTATGCCAGTAAGTACCTTTGTTCCAACATATATGAATTAATTTTTATATTTTTATTAATAGATTTATGCTAAGAAATGGTCCAAATGGAGAAAATGTTCAGATCAAATTATATAAAATCACAGGTTTTTAAAAAAATCGACCACACTGGCAAATTATTACTAGCACACTATCAAATTATATAAATTTTATTTCACATATTTTTTTATATAACAGAAAACAAAGCAGTGGGTGTTATGAAACCAGGACACTGTTTCACAATCGAACCGATGATATCCCAAGGCACTTGGAAGGACGAAACGTGGCCTGATAATTGGACAGCCGTTACATTAGATGGTCAGTGGTCGGCACAATTTGAGAATACGCTTTTAGTAACGGAAACTGGTTGTGATATTCTCACAAAACGGCTTGCAAATGATAGCAGGCCATGGTTCATGGATCGTTTGTAGTAATAATGTATTTCCTTAATTTTCAATTCCTACAATATATTTAAATCTGAAACCTGTTCAAATTGATTATGAGAAATATAATGTAATCTATTGTATCTTGTATCTATATTTTACAAAATATAATAACATTTTAGTTTTGCGAATGTACAGTAATAAAAAAATAAACAGCTTAATTTTACTCTTTTAATTTTATATAAAAAAACATATATATATATATATATATATATATATATATATATATATATAGTTCAGTATTTTTCGAATTGTGAGGCTTAAAAGATATAATACTTTGACATAAAATATAAAATATCTTGTAAAATATTCAATTTATACACGGAATAATGAGACCAATCAATTAATATCAAAAAACGTATAAATTTTTTAAAGAAAAATGTTATAAATTACATACATTTTCTTAAAAATAACTGCATTTTCTTTACATCAATTGATTTGTCTAATTGTTTTATGCATAAAAGTATTAAAGTAAGATTATAATCTTACTTACAATTTTTTCTACATAAAATACAAAATATTTTACAAATATATTTTGTATTTTATGTAGAAAAAATTGTAAATTTTATACCTTATAACTCAAACAGTACTTAAGAAAAAAATACTTTATTGCAGTATTTTGGAAAGCTCTCAAGATAAGCTATAAGAATATGCAATAAAAAATAATAGGTTCCATTTCAGAAATTGAAGTGACCTTTACGTGATCAAATGATTATTCAAGGTCATATCAGTGGTATCATCTTATGTTCTTTGAATCAAACAATTTTATTTGAAACATTTTTCTGTATCTTTTATATTTTTCGAGATATTTGCTTGCGGCATTTAAATGAGATATCCTATATATGTATATACATATATGTCGTAGACCAATGGTTATTTTTAATAAATAGCTTTTGACTAGTCAAATGCTATCTGCCATGTCAAATGGTTTTCGCCTTTTTTCAAACGCTACTTTCCTAGTCAAATATTATTTGACTGAACTGTTGTTAGGCAAATAGTATTTAGCATATACTTTTCCACGCGAAGCGAGATTTCACATAGGTTTGAAACTTTCTACACGAAGCGAGATAGCCTAAACCTATGTATCTAGTTTTTTTTTATAGTGGAACCCGCCGCAAAGGAGCGGAACCCCCACTATGTCCACGCCACGCATATACATTTTTCCACGCGAAGGCGAGGTTCCACATGGATTTGCAACATTCAATGAGGTTGGAACATTGTATATTATTTATATTGTTTTATCCATTTACAGTACGCAATACGCAAAATAGCTGCTATAAACTCGAAGTGTCTCATTCGGAACAATATCCAAATTTATTTCCGGGCGAAAGCCATTTCACTTGGCAGATAGCATTTGACTAGTCAAAAGCTCATCTTTACTGAAAATAACTTTACTGGCCTATAACATATATATATATACAGTACCGGCTTTAGGGTAGGGCGCAGTGGGGCGACTGCCCGGGGCGCCGGATCTGTAGGGGCGCTGCTGCCCGGTGCCCCATAGAGTCCCTCTAATAAGATGTCGCGACTCTTATTAGAGGAACTCTAATGCCCCCTAGTATGCAAAAGTACCTATATCTCCTCACTGTGTTATACCCTGACATGCTCTCTATACTTTTGTATATCTTTTGATTCTTTTGTCTCACATCTGTATTTATCATGGCTATCGCGTTCTCCGCTTTGTGCGGATCCTCATCGCCACGCTTGACGCTCGACTCCCTCATCACGCGGGCGCCTTCCGTAATCTCTCAAAAACTCTAGTTTAAGCTTTGTCCTCTAAAAAACCCGAAATAATAAAAGTATATAAAATACAAAAAAATACAAAAAATAAAAAAATATAAATATATAAAAAAACAAAAGCAAAAAAGGAACTACAAAAACTTTCTACGTCCACGTCGTTAGCTCTGGGTAAAGCTAAAGGAAAGTTTTTTGAATTTTTATATGCGTGCATTCGTTTATATCCGTTTAGACTAGTAAAAATATCGAAAATTGAATGGGCGCCACGATAATCTTGCCCAGGGCGCCAATGTTGCTAAAACCGGCACTGTATATATATATATATATATATATATATATATATATATATATATACCCATACAGCACCGATAGATTGCAAAAACATTACAACAATCTTTCACCGCAATATTGCAATATTGTAAATTCACTGCAAAATGTTGCTACATCATTGCTGTTGAATTGCAGCAATGTTAAAATGTCCGCTTTTTGGAAGATTGCAACAAAATATTACAACAATATTGCAATGTTATGAGTTTGCAATAATGCATTGTTATTGCAACCATAAACTAATGTTGCATATACAGGTATATAAATGTAAATAAATCATTAATGAAAATACGTTGTAGTTAAATGTTATCTATATTTTTGTTTATTGCAATGTAATCACAAATAAATATAATCACAGTCGATTATATATAATCACAATAAATAAATATTAATCACAGTTGATTATATAATCATAAATATAATCACAATCGATTAATCGAAACTTAAAGATAATTTTAAATTTGGCGTATGGGCTAGCATTAATTGCCCACTAGCTATAAAGAAACTTAAAGATAGTAACGACGTAGAGTTTGAACCATAAACTATATAATTCCAAACATAACATTTGAGCCTTAAAACATAGTTTGTTTTCAGTTAAGAGAACTTAAAAATAAAGATAAGGAATTATGTTAAAACAAATAAAGTAAATCATTGAACATAAAAAAAACTTAGAAAAAGCATTATAAATATTATAAACTTAACGAGGCTGATTTTCCTTTCCTGTTAAGGATCTGTAAAAATAAAATAATATTAAAATTCATATACTTACATAAAACCTCACCTACATAAATATATCAAAAGTATGTACGTATTACTCAAGATATTATACGTAGAATCCTCCTTGCCAAAATGTTTAGTAATATTCTCTGAAACAATATAGTAAAAATATTTTAATATAAAAACAGATTAATTTGCCTATATTTATTTGTATATAATGTGTTGTTTATACTATTACACATAATACAAAAACATATACTTATTCTAGAGACAAAATCACATATATCCTCTCAAAATTTCAACTTGATTAGAACAGTAATAATTATATTTATCTATTATGTGCCTTTATATATTTTCTTATTTCAATATTTCTTGCTTTCTTTCTGGTTTTCTATTTCACAATATACAAATACATATTATCTGCAATGCGACAAATGTATATCCCAGGGAGAAACAAGAAATCGGATCGACGTCGATTAGACGTAAATAACGTCTATAACTTTTTCAGTTCAAATTAGACGTCGACTAGACGTCGATATTATTTGCTAAAACAATCAGGCCAGACATCAATAAACATTTCATTTTAATCCATAATAAAATACTTTTCATGTAAAAGAACATATATTAAAATTTATATATAAAATATATATGTGATCCATATATATATATATATATTTTTTTTTATTTGTGTTGTATAATTTCTCTTTGTGTGTGTAATATATTAATTAATTATAAAAATAAAGGTAAATTAATTATTATATATATATTTACTAATTATGTATGAGGAAACTTTATATGAAAATATAACTTTAATTATTTAAATGATTGGTTCGATAACGCTTATTTTGATTTAACTGTCGTATAAAAGATAAGTTGCGAGTTGCGACACCGCCTTGCGACTAAATATAGTACCAACTTAACGCAACGAGTTAACGAACTCATTCTGTTATTGTTCCGTGATCGATGATCATTCGTTGAAGTTCGTTGAATGTTGAACTGTGCTTGTGATAATATTTGTTCTTCTAGAGGCCTATTCTGTAACTTTTAACAAATGCGTTATAACTGTAACGCATGCGTTAGTCGTCGTATCGTCGACGAATTCATGGTTAACAAATGAATTATAGTTATAACGCATGCGTTAAAAGTTACAGAATAAGTCTGCTGGATCGATTGCTATTCTAATAAAGAAGTCATCACCAACAAAAATGAGTGAAAGTCCACCGGTAAATGCTTCATAATTTATAATTTCTTAATAATCTACTTTTTACTTTTGTGCCTCAAGTCGTCTGTAGGTTATAATTGTTTCATAAATAAATTACAATTTTCATATAAATAGTTCATAATTTATATATATATTAATAAATTATTTTGATTTATTTAATTAAAAATATTGTATGCTCTTATATATACACTTTTCTTTAACTCACTCTTTAACTAACCTCAACATATACGGAATTATTAATAATAATATTGTCACTATTGCTTCTTTTTTGCTATTATTTATTTAAAGTTTATTATCAAAATTTATTACATAACATTATTGTGAATGCAGTATAAGCAATATATTTTAGTACTGATGTTGTTCTTGTATTATTTTTACATCTATCATAGGAAAGTAGGAATCGTCGTAGAAATACGAACAAGCAAATAATTAATGAATTAGTTAGGCAATGTAGGAATCAAAGAAAATTGGACGATTTAAGAAATCGAATTACTACTGTCTACAAGACAGAGGCTTTATCCGATAAAGAGGTTTCATCCGATGAAGAGGTTTCATCCAATGAAGAGGTTTCATCCGATGAAGAGAATAATGAAATGCTGCCCATTCCAGGGATTGAAGATATTTCTTTATTAGAAACAAATTCTGAAGTATCAACAGAATCTGATGCATCTATCGATCAACTTGAAAATGAAAATATGGATGATAACAATAATTATAATAATGACAATGACAGTGAATTACATTTTGAAGATGAGAATAATGACAGCGAAGGAAGTGTTGAAATTAATGATGCTAACAGATATAGTAACGATGAAGAAAATGATGATTTAATGATTGAATTTGAAAATGACGAACAGAGAGGACGCTATGTTTTAAAAACATTGAGGGAGTGGGCCCTTGAAGGAGGTGTGTTATCTATGAAGAAGTTAAATGATTTACTTCGTAGATTGAGAGTATTGTTTCCCATCTTACCTAAAAGCTACAAAACCTTACTCCAAACTTCTCGAGATTTAGATATTGATCGATTACCTGATGGATCTCAAATGTGGTACAAGAGTATAAGAACAAACCTTGACAACATGCTTCTTGATGAATATTTAAATATTTACAATTCTGTTATTATTGATATCAATATGGATGGCCTTCCATTGTCTAAAAGTTCTAAATTAAAAGTTTGGCCAATTTTAGGTTATTTAGTAAATACAGAAAATGAGCCTTTTATTATTGGTTTGTACTTTGGTGATCATGATCCTGTTGACATACATTTTTATCTGCACAAATTCGTAAATGAGCTCGAAGATTTATTGGAAAATGGATATATTCGGGATAATTGTACATATCCATTCATAATAAGAAATTATGTTCTTGATGCACCAGCTCGCTCATTGGTGAAACGCTGTGTTAGTCATGGAGGTTATGGAGCTTGTGAAAAATGCACATGTGTTGGTGAATATGTTGCGGATCGTATAGTTTATACAAATCTGAATGCTCCATTGCGAACTGATCATTCATTTATTATTCAAGAAGATCCACTTCATCATATAGGCCGTTCTATTCTAGAGAGAGTAGGTACAGGAATGGTGTCTCAATTTAGATTGGATTCATTTCATTTAGTTTGGCATGGAGTTTTCAAACGATTATTGATGGTATGGATGCAATGAAATGGGCCATGGAAACTTAACAAGTTCTCCAGAAAAAATATTTCTAACAATCTAAATTTTTTGAGGGATTTCTGTCCAAGTGATTTTTGCAGACTACCAAGATCAATTGATGACTGGAAAATGTACAAAGCTACAGAAGAGAGACGATTATGTCTTTATGATGGACTCCTAATATTTCGAAATAATTTGCAAGAAAATGTTTATAAAAACTATCTCTTACTTCAAGCTGCCCTGTATATTCTCTCTAGTCCTTTACATGTTAATGTATTGAATGACTTTGCTAATGAATTTCTTAGAGCATTTATTAAGCATTGTATAGAATTGTACGGGAAACGTTTTGTGGTATATAATGTTCATTCGCTTTCTCATTTAGCTCAAGAATGTGCAGAGCATGGTTCTCTGGAGAATTTTAGTTCTTTTATGTTTGAAAATCGCTTAAAATCAATCAAAAGTAGCCTAAAATCTGGATATAAACCACTGCAACAAGCTGTATTACGGGATTTAGAACGAGTCAGAGCAATAAAAATTAAATTAAAAGCTAAAGAGAAGATTATTCACCTTTCTCACAGACATGAGGATGCAGAAGAACAATTACCAGGAACACACTTTCGGTGTCTTTCTATTGATAGTATGGTATTACGGATTGATATAAAGAACTGTTGCTTCTGCACAACAGATGGAAATGTTTACATTTTAAGGAACATTGTAAAGCAAGAGAGAAGAGTGATGCTTGTTTGTAACAAGTTTCAGGATATAGGCGATTTTTATACATATCCTTTTCCATCCTCTCGATTAGGTATTGTGAGAGTTTCTCAAATAGATGACGAAAGGTTCATTGTGCCATTGCATGATGTTCATGCTAAATGTTGGTTAATGCCCTATTCCGATGATTGTTTTTTATGTGTTCCTCTTCTCCATACAATATTATTCCAATAATATTTGAGATTTTTTCTGTTAAAGTATGCAATATAAGTAGTAATCTTAGTATAGGTTTACAAATTTTTTCAAATGAAACCATTTGTCATTACGTGGAAAGTGTAATTTGTGACATGAAAAAGTGACAAGAAAAAAGTTTTTATATTTTATGCTTATTGTAATTTTATGTGTTTTGCAGTTTATGGTTGTGAAATTCTTATCTACTGATGATGAAGAAACTGATGATGAATGTTACGAGGTGGCTCTTTCAAAATGGCTTGAAGATTTAGATGAAAATAGGATTGGAAATATATTCTGGCCAGAAGATAAATCTATAGCAGGGACATTAGTTCGAACTCAAGCAAATGCGGAATCAAATTGGCCCACTTATACAGTGGAAGTTAAAAGATACTATGGTGAGCAATTTTCTCTTATATCTTCTTTTTTCTGCCTGTTTAAAAGTTATTAATAATATGGTTTGTTGCACTAGATACATATTTTCAAGCGCGAAAAGGATTAACAGGAATAATAGAGTATGCTTCAGCCTATGAGACTGATACTGGAAAAGAAATGGGAAGAGGAAAGAGGAAGAAAAAAGTAAAACCATTCACGTCTTCAGAGGAATCTGATAATGATCAGTGTGTAAAAGATCAATTGAAGGAAAAAAAGTGTAGCATTCCTTCACCACCAACAATCCATGTTCCTGGAACTTCTATCTCAACTGATAAGAATTCTGGTCATATTAAATACAAAAGACATATTATTGAAGATTCCTCAAGCATAAAAAAACTGAAAGTTGCAAAAGATTCAAGTGAATCTACAGGATCAGAAAATACTCGTGAACGATTGCTTGAAAAGATTATCAATGAAAGAAAAAAGGCTATGAAAAAAAATGAGAAAAATAATACTACATTATTTGCTGCACATTCACAAGTTTTACAACCATCATCAGGAAAGCAATCTACATCTAACACCTTTCTTTGTCAACGTAACATGAAGACTTCCTCTACATCAAAAATTGTGAAATCTCCAGAGAAGACTGCAGTTAATAAGCTCAGAGAATTGTTTGATAACACTAAGACAAAAACCAAAGAAAAGGTTAAAAAATCTAAACCCTCTACAGCTTCTGAAGTTTCCTTAAAAATTACACCAGGTCCTTCTAACAACTATTCTGAAAGATCTAATATGAGTCCTTCGACAGAGTCCGATATTTCAAGGAAATCAGATGATCCGCTTAGAAACCCACAGAAATCTCCTTCTTTGTTGAATTTGGAATTAAAAAGAGAACATAATCCGATAAATTCTTTGTCTCAATCACCATCAGTAAATGATGATACTTCACAAGATACTACACTACTCGCACAAGAAGAAAAGAGCAGCCCACTTTCTTCCAAAGAAAAATTAGAGCGACCTGTTCGTAATTTGACAAATGTTCTTAGTGCAGGTATATTAGATTGTTTGCTCATACACATGTGTATATGTATGTGAATGTATATATATATCCCAGACAGCACAAAATGGTCGAAGAATGTTCAAAGAACATTTTGTGTTGTCTGGGTATATATATATATATATATGTAATGTGTATATGTATATTTTAATAATTTGTCATTTTATGTTTACATATATATTTTCAGATTTTGATCAACATTTTATAACATTGAAAAAGAACTTAGACGACATGAGCAGCAAGCTTGACGTCATTATTATGAACCAAGCGAACTTAAATAAATGTTTGATTCCGGAACAGGCTATCATTACTAGACCTTCAAATCTACCTCCTTTACCTTTAAATGATATGAAAAATCTCGAAGAGTTTGACAAATTTTTATCTAAAGATGTAAATCTGTCGGCAGCGGTAAGTAATATTTTATATGCTTATATAACCTAATATATTTTTATTACAATTTTTATTATAGTTATTATAATAATTCTTTAACATTATTTGTGCTATGCTTCTTATATTTTTAAATATATCATACAAGTATATTTTTATTTATTAACATGAGTGATAAATAAATAAATGTGTGTGTGTGTGTGTGTAACGTTGACAAAGAGAGGTGCTAATGATTTTTCCCGGTGTTTATATTTTTTACAGTGTTACTATTTGAAGAGTTTGCCGTTAGGTGATAATGAAAAAATTGTAGCATCAAGACTTATGACCAAATTGATGACTAATTCCTTAGCGAAACAATTCAACTTTGATGGTCATAATCCTCAAAAGGCTAAAGTTAATAAAAGGCCATTTAAGAAACTGAAACTATGGGAATTATTTCAAGGTATTTTATCTTCTTTTCAATATTTTGTTTCATCTTAAGTTTATTGTAGAAAAAATTCATAAATATTTCTTTTTTTTCTAGGAGTTATGCTATTAAAATTTCCTACCAGTGATTTGGAAGATGCCTTAAATGCAGTCAGAAATTGGCTACGAAACGCTGCTGGGCGTAAGCAATGAAATGTGCAATTTCATTTTTTTTATTTTTAACAGAATCTAATGTATAAGAAAAGCAGAGGTAAAAAGTGCTCGCATACGAGAATATTGCGTTGTAATATCTTATTATTCTTAGACGACTCTTTACAAGGTCTTTTTCTCGATACAAATTAGCACGGGGGAGGTTTCCCATTAAAAGGGAAGAGGTCATTTAATATTCGTCATAAAATGCAATTAATTATTTTTTTTTCTTGAATGTGAAATATGATCTCTATTCATGTGCAATTTGCGAAGTCTTATGTCATTTTTATTTTGTTATTGTATTTTTGATATTGCTGCTTTATTTTGAATATTATTTGTCTTATTTTTTATTTATGTAACTGATAAGACATTGTCAGGTTTAAATTTGATTTGAATTATTACATATAAAAGTTTTTAGTTGAAGTATGTATATGTAGAATATATATGTACACTAATAAAGAATGTATATATATATATATACATATATAAAATATATATATTTATAATATATATATATATCAAGACACGATAAGATGGCATATACTGGAGTTTTCAGTATGTCAACAAAGATTATCCTGTACTGAAATTGTCCAATACATATTAATAAAAAATAGATATAAGGTTAATAATACATATAAAATTATTTTCTAAAGTGTCTTTTCCATCCTTTCAGTTTCAATTATATAAATATATGTATAACAATCTAAATACCAAGATCCAAATAATTTTAGTGTTGGTTCTATTTTTTTCATTCGTAAATTAAAAAGGTAATGTAAATTTTCTAAAGAAAATATATTTGCATGCATCCAATATTACAATTCAATGAATGTTTACTGAGCAATTTGTTTTGATTAGAATATTACATTATTCTATATTTTACAATAAAAATATACTTAGAATTAAAATAAAATGTTCACTGAATGGTGTACGTAATACTGCACTTATTGCCTGCGTTCGCAGCAGAGAAAGTAGAAGTGTCTGTTGTAAAATTATTGAATTTGAGTATTGTATGAGCTTAGGTTTAGTCAAAACTAAAAGCATACGCCATTATTAGATTCATCAATTTTACAACATTTGCAACGCTACTTTTTCTGCTGAATACAGCCGTTACATCAATTATTTAGATGTCTATTAGACATTTTATAGACGTTTATATTAACGTCTAGATGGTGTCGAAATTCAAAGATTTGTCCGTCTATATAGACGTCAAATTAGATCTTACTTAGACGCATATAAAAGACATCGATTCGACGTCTATTCAACATGCCATTTCTCCCTGGGATGCACAGTGCGAACTGTATAAATAGTTGAAACACTCATCACAAGTAAGAAATGATAATATAAAATATACACACATAAAGCACTAGCTACAGATTTATATATATTATATTACTTTTTATGTATTATAATTATTTATTTTAACTGCTGCCTATATTTACCTCTAAAGTATCTATAGTTTCATATTACTGTATCATAGAGATATGTACATATATCCCATAGCAAAATAGAAAATTAAATAAAGCAAAAATATTCACTTAAAAAATATACGAAGATATATCATAAATAAATATATAGTTTTTACTTTCCCAATCAGTCTCAGTCTCCTTGAGGTTATAGAGGTTATAGGTTCTTATTAACTTTGGGACAAGTAATTCTCTTTTATAATTACGAAATATAGATTTTTAACTTTATAGTATATCGTTATAATTAAACATAGTATTATCAAAAAAATGCTTACCTTTTCCTTTACACAGCAAAACAAGTCAATGCGAGTTACTGTACACGTGATAACCACGAGTTGCAACGGTCTACGTCTACTACGTAGCGAAGCCGGCGCCTACTATACACGCACACATGTATTGCGCAGAGCGTTCGGCGCAGAAATTTAAGCCAATGATTTAATAAAATTATTGATTATCGTTAACATCTTTTATTGTACAATATTGCAAAAAATTATTTTATTACAGTATTATACCCAGCAAATACCAAGTTACAGTTATATAATTGTTAGTTGTAATTTTCCATTTTTGAGTGGGAATTACAACTAACAATTATATAGCTGTAATTTGGTGTTTGCTGGGTACATGTATATATATTACAATATATAAATTATAGAATTTGGATTACATGCAATATTTCCGAAATATTAATGTCATGTTGCTACAAGTGTGCTGGAATTTTGTGCACCTATATCTCTGCAATGTCTTTATAATGTTGCATTGCAACTTGCAACATTGCAACGTTGCTGCAATATAATTGCAATAATCTGTGCTGTATGGGTATATATATATATATATATATATATATATATATAATTTGAAAAGTTGATCGGGTGGAAGAAAGGAAAAGAGTATATCAAAATAATTTATCATTTATCTAATAAATAAATAAATATATATACATATATATATATATATATATACAAATGTTTATCGATCAATGAAACGCGCGAATTCTTGGAAACACAAGATTAATAAAATTCTACAAATCTATAACAAAAACTTGTGTTCATTTTATCGTCAATGAGATATAAATAAATAAATGTAAATGTGTGTATCTTATATATAAGGATCTATATGAGAGTGACTAAATAAAATATTCTCTGTACAGGATGTCCCATAAGAAATTGCTGAGACTAATCAGCTGTCATTTTTAATGCATGCAGTTATTGAGAAAATCAAAATTGTGTTGAAAAGAGAAAAGTGTAGTTTTTAATGAATATAAATAAAATGTTTGTATACCAGTTTATTTTATTAAAACCAAGTAATGAAACAAGTGCTAATAATCACATATGTAAACTAATGATAAATATTTTTGAAGTGCGCACCATTTGATGATAATTTGTACAAAATTCTGTTCTTTTACGAAAACTCGCAAAAACTTTTTCTAACATGTCATTTTTAATGTTATTAACGATCTTTTTAATAGTTTCTATTAAATCTGGCACTGTTGAAAATATTTATTATTAATTTGTGATTTTATGTGATTCTTAGCATTTTTTTCATTACTTTTTATCCATAAAATAAACGGGTACACAAACATTTTATTTATATCCATTAAAAACTGTAGACTTTCCTCTTTTCAACACAATTTTTGTTTTCTCAATGACTGCATGCATTAATAAATGACACGTGATTAATTTTAGCAATTTTCTATGGGATACCCTGTATAATATAGCTTACAATTAGAAAAGTAGTGACTCTCTTTTACAAACGGATGCCAAATTCAATATGGGAATTATTATCGCGAGATGCTGTTTTAAACAAAGCTGCAGTTTGCGAATCTTCAATTTCCCCATCTTCATATTCGTACTCCATGTCTACGTTATCTTTTTCTATATTATTACTTTGTTGATTATCGTCACTCGTAGCGTAATCATTCTTATCATCGGGTATCATAATTTGCATTGGCAACTTTCCATCGTTTTGTACTTTAAGATTTTGCCTATGATGCTGCTGCTGCTGTTGATGTATTTTTTGTCGATTATACGTCATCTGTTCATCATTATCGATCTGCTGTTGATTCCCAAGATCGTCATCGCTCTTGTGATTAAGCGGCACTGCGTTTTTCTGTGCATCTTTTTTCTGCTGTTTTTGCAACTGATTTATAAGACGACTGTTGACGTGACCGGCGGCAGCCAGGGCGGCTAATTTTTCAGCAGTTTCTCTATTAGGGAGTGTCGTGTAGAAATTTGTCGATATGGCACCAGCATCGACCATTTTATCGAGATACGTCATCGTTGGGTTTATTTGATATGTCGTCATTTCTTCATTATCAATATTATTTTCGGGTTGCTCAATTCCATTTATAGAATATGTTAATTCCTCGTTAATTTGGGCATCGTTCTGCCTACGTGTATTTATCGAAGATCCCAAACCCAAATTATAATCCGCCGTGACACTTTCGGGACGTAATCTTGATTGGATAAAATTTGCTGTTGTTTCTGTTGCTGTTGTTGCAGCTGCTGCTGTTGTTGTTGTTGCAGCAGCTGCTGCTGTTGTTGTTGCAGCTGTTGCTGCTGTTGTTGTTGCAGCTGCTGTTGTTGCAGCTGCTGCTGCTGTTGCTGCTGCTGCTGCTGTTGTTGTTGCTGTAGCTGCTGCTGTTGTAATAATTGATTAGCCTGTTCATCATAATTAAAAGAATGCATTTGCGGTTGGGAAAAGCTTGTTGCTACATCTGGTTGGAATATTTGGCCAAGTTGCTGTTGAAGAACTTGCTGATCTGATAATCATAAAAATCATTCAGTTATTTAACGATACAAACTTTTTAATATTGATAATTTATCATAGAGTTTATAAAGAAGGATTGCAGAAATTGTTACCTGATGTATATTGCTCCGTAAGTTTGGGTGGAATATTGTTCAAGAGGTCGTAAAATTGCGCTGCTGACAGCGGTGACCCTGTTGAAATTGAATGACCTGTATTGAACTCTGCTGGAATCTGCTGCGTTATAGTGTACGGTGTCTGAATGCCTGCGGGAGGAAATCCGACGTGTAAGGAACCATGAAGATTGGTTTGCATCGGCATACTTGGTTGACCGATTTGTATATTATTATTCGATCCTGTATTCGGGTTAACAGCAAAAAGCTCGTTGGACTGTAAGGTTTGATGAGGATTATTGTTATTTATAATCGAATATAGCCTCATTATATCTAAATCTTGAACTTGATGGGTTGCTTCGGGCAGTTGGATAGTTTTATGCTCATTCAAAGTTATGTCGTTTCTCTCTGTAACTTCGTATTGATGTTGTAATGGATCTGTTGCTATTCTTTGCGGCGGTAGACTGCTGTTAATTGCGTCTGATCCAAAAGTGCTTGTCATAGGATCTAGGCGAGAGAATTAATACACCCAATTAAATAAAAAATTATACTCCCAATCTTCCGACATTGAGCCAACTTAAAATGGCTCCAATATAACACTGTTAAACAAAAAAAACATTGGCACAAACTAATCGTTTCTTATAGCTTTTTGGACATTAAACATAAATCTGTCTTTCAAATTGCTCTATTACGTCACACTTTTAAGAGACATGCAATTAAAGTTGAAAAAGGATTATTTTCACGAACTTTGTTATACTATAGCTACAATATGCGACGTGCTAAAGAAGTTTTCTGGCTACCAAAATAAAATATATTGTTAGAACTTTCAACCCTCAATAGAAATTTTCGATGTCGGTTATGGTTTATAAGATATATCTATAGTTGAATATGGGGTATTCAGAGGTTAGCTGTGATTTATTTAGGTTGACGAGTTACAAACAGTTTTATATTATATTTATTTATTCTTAAAGGTGTTTTAGGTCACTGCGAATACGAAATCAATGTCAAAATTATCAAATTCAAAATGGTACTCAATATGGGGGATGTAAAAATTTAAAAAATATTTTTTTATAAATCCGCCATATTGAGTTTATTTTGACAATTTTGACATTGTATTTGTATTCAGTGACCTAAAAGACCTTAAAAATAAATAAACATAATTTCAACTGTTTGTAACTCGTCAACTTAAGCACTTATGACTTATTTAGTCAGTTAACTTCTGCAATATCTCGTATTCAACTATGGATATCTTATATATAAACCATAACACCGACATCGAAAATTCCTATTGAGAATTGAAAGTCCTAATAATATACTTTATTTTGGTGGCAAGAAAACTTCTTTAGCGCATATTGTAGTTATAATATAACAAAGTTCGTGAAAATAGCCCTTTGTTCCAACTTTAATTGCATGTCTCTTAAAATTGTGACGTGATGGAACAATTTTGAAGATAAGTGTTCAGCGTCCAAAAAATTATAAGAAACTAATCTCATTCTGGTGTTCGAAAAGTCATTTTTTGTTGAACAGTATAATATGATAAAAATGTGGGGCTTACTTTGCGCAGTGTTATGATAATTGGGATCATTCGAGTACGATGGACGATACTGCAAAACCTTTTCCGAATCGGTCGCCGAATAAGGCTTATCGGCTGGACTTAGATTAGGTGCCGGAATCGTATGGATGGGTCCTTTGTCATCATCTATGTCCCCTCGATGAGTGGACGGCAATATTGCTAACTCTGGTTTGTATTGTGAACTATATTCCTGTATCTTGTTTATAGAATAAAAATCCTTGGCAGGAGTGCCGCGTTGTGGCAAAATCGCGTGGTTGTTCAAGACAGGGAACGCGCGCATTGGAATTTGATTTTTCCAATTGTTTGGTAGAACATTATACACCATCATGGGCCGATTTCGAATTCTGTGAAAATGGTCGAGAATAAAATTATTCCGAGATATTATTTGTAATATATAAATATACATAGACACGTATTTTTTTATGAGCCTCTCACCTGTAATTAGGCTTGTAAGGTATTCTCTGAGGAGAAGGAATACCAATATGGATGGCATTGCCCATGGATATTCGGTGATTGATGGGCCGATGAGATTTTTTCAATATCAACGTAGGCGCAAACGGTGGAGATGGTGGTCTCCTAATCTTTTTCGCTTCAGAAATGCAGACGCATATGGCAAGAAGCCAGCAAATCCAACTGGCCGTCTATAAGTTTTTAAAGCTTATTGGAGCGTGTATTGATTTTATCTTGATTCGAGAAAGAGTTTTAAAGAGAAAATAAAATTGCGTCAAATAATTGGAGAAAGATGGCAATTTTCTCTTCATTTTTGCGCGCGCTTCAGACGAACTACGGACATAATACTGTCTAACAAATGTCTAACATATAATATAATATACATTGTCATATTCCTAATATACATTGTAATAGACGTGTGATATATGTATTTGATGTGGTACCGTAAAGATTCTCATTGTCATACTTTAGTGTTATACAATTTTTCACTTTTTTCAACTTTTTCGATTTTTTCAACTTTAAAAAAATTTTTAAACTTAAAAAAAATTTCAATTTTTTCCAATTTTCAAAAAGTTTATTTTTTAACTTTTTTCAAACTTTCTGAAAAAATTGTAACTCTTCAAAACTGTAAAAATGTTCTCAACTTTTTTCAATTTTAATCTTTTTAAAGTTTTTCAATTTACGTTTATTCAGGATTGGGTAAGTTAATAATTTTTTAAAATTAAGTTAAGTTAAAATTAGCTGCTTATAAAATTAATTTAGTTAAGTTAAAAGTTTGCATGTAAACGAAAAATTAACTCGGTTAAAGTTAAGATTAAATTAACTGAAGTTAAATTTTAAAAGCATTATTTATATTAAATTAGAATTTTATTTGCTAATTCTTTTAAAATTTATAATAACAAATAACAAAGAAATTTTTATATAGAAATACATTTTTTGGTAATTACAATTGATAACAAATAAACATAAAAAATAATAATACTTTAATAATACTTTACATTTATAACTTATAAAAAAGCAATATTGGTATTTAGAGATAAAAAAATTTAAGTTAGGAAAAAAGTTAATAAGTTTAAAGTCAAAAATAACTAGTTGAAATTAAAAATTAATACATTTTAAATTAACTAACTTTTTAACTTTCAATTAATTAACTATAGTTATTACCCAACTCTGCATTTTTCAATATTCTTTGCCTTTTTTTATTTCTATGCTAGCTGTTTGCACTAAATGAAATGTATGAAAGTTGAAAAAGTTGTATGACACTAAAATATGACGAGAATTGTTTTTACAATTACGATACTACATATCGAAACATCTATCGTGGTATGACTCTTTATGCCATATACTATCCGCATAAAGCGCGTAAAACTGAAGAGAAAATTGCCGCAAATCGTTAGTGCGCTAAAAGTGGAACATTGTGCTACATTGATCGCTTGGCGCGCGAGAAAAGCGAATAGGTAGGTAAAGTATAACTTTTTTCGCTCGCACAAAGAGTAAAATCGAGAGACAGAAAAAAAAGAACGTAAAATGCGAGAATTGCGACAAATCGAAATTGTGCGTTGACTATATACAAAATTAAAATAAAACAAATTAAAATAATCCGCAATTTTTTCGTCTTTCAAATAAAAGATTTTATATAGAAAATGCTTGGTGTGAAAGAACTTTCGTGCGATTAAATAGCAAATGGACATAAATATGCAAAATTTATCTAAGACGTGAAGATTTATTTATCTGAAAACTTTTATTGTTTTTTTTTATTATTTTATCTGAGAACAATTTATTATCTTCAATATTTTTTTCTAATAAATATAAATGTGATGTAGTTTTCAGTTGAAAAATATATATGTTGTACTACACAAAAATTTCTTGAACAAAAAAATGGTTAGTATTACATTTCTTTATGAAAATTAACAAAATTAATCTGTTCTTCGATTTTAATATAAAAAATAATTAATAAATTAATTTAGAAATTACAAATCTACTGAAAAATATAGATAAATAAGAATATTATAAGTTGATACTTATTGTTTATCTTTTAAGAGAAAATTGTATTTCATAAATCACATTTTGACAACTCGCTGAGAACGAAAGCGAGCAATCATCACATTAAATTTCTAACGATCAGGTAAATATATAAGCAACAAGATTTATTAGAAAGTAAAATGAGTAAAAAAGATGCACAACATATAATAAATGAATGGAATTTATTATAATGAAAAAATAATTTGATCAGCGATACATTCATTAACGATTCAATTAATATGTACATATCTATATATGTTTCTATGTTCTATATAAGTATTGCCTACTTTCCAATATTTTATAATTATTTTATATATTATTAATGTGCAATTAAGCTTCTCAGAAACCAAACTAATTACTTCACTTTTTATTATAAATTTTTTAATTTTGAGAAACTCTAATTCAATAAACAAGAATTTAAAGATTTTAATTAAATAAAAAAATATCTCAAATTTGCAAAAAATAAAAAAAATTAATTTTTTAAATTTTTAAATGAATTAAATAAACCTTCAAATTGTTGCTATAACACACATATCTTACCTTCATAATAATTTACGCTTTCGTAGACTGCAACATGCAAAAAATTGCACCGTTTCCGTTATTAAAAAATTAGAAGAGAACAGAAGAAGAATTCAGTTTATGTGGATCCTCGTATAACGCTTTATAATTAAATAATCAAATATGAATTATGCACGCTCAAAAACATAAGTGATTGACCGACGAAGAAGTCCGACGCGTTCTGTACGCAATTAGGTCATTGTTCTTCATTTATACTCCGAACCAGCGAATGTATCATCGAAGACTAAAACCGGCCTCCTACTTCCGTCAACCAGCGGCCAGGAGAGCTTGCCACCGAAAGGCCGGTGGAATCAGAAAAAATTCGGAGCCACGCACGGGGAATAACTTTGTTTAGTATGAATAAAGAATTATCATTGCACGACATAGTTTTACCGAATAATTCATCTAAAGAGGGATGAAAACATGCATGCGTGTCTAAAGATATTTATCCAAAATACACACACACACACACACACAGGGTGTTCCATTTTAACTTATTGTTAGTCATACTCAAATATCTCGAAAAATATAAAAGATACGATAAAAAATTTTTTAAATGTAATTTGCAACATGCAGCTGCATACTTTTTCTTAAAATCAATTGTTTATACCAATTAATTGGTTTCATTCTGTGCATAAAAGTATTAAGGTAAAATTACAAAACATTGAATATTTTATATATACAATATATATATATATATATATATATATATATATATATATATATACATATACAAGATATTTTACATTTTATGTCAAAAAATTATTAACTTCAAACTTTATAAATTATAGTGTTTTGAAAAACTCTTGAGATAATCTACAAAAATATGCAATAAAAAATGAGGGTTTATAATAAAGAAATTGAAAGTGACCTTTACATGATCTTTAAATGACTATTCAAGGTCAAATCAATGGTATCATCTTATGTCCCTCTTCGAACAAAACAACTTTTGTTTAAAACGTTTTTCTGTATCTTTCATATTTTTCGAAATATTTGAGTGTCTAACAAATTAAAATGAAACACCCTGTATATATATTATATATGTTTAGCAAAAATTTAAAGTACCCATTTTTAATTGTAATAGCAATTTAAAAAAGTAGAATTATAAAAAATAAAATAATAATAGTCAATATGAAATTTCTTAAAATAAATGTTGAATTTTTTACAACATACATAAAAAAGTATGTAATTTGCAACTAACATAGTTACATACTTTTTCTTACAACTATGTATTTTCTTTACATCAATTGATATCTCTTCTTTTTTTGTGTATAAAAGTATATTGAGGTAAGATCGATGAAAAATGAATATTTTACGAGATTTTATATATATTTTATAGTTTATGTAAATCTATGTCAAATATCTCATAAAGTATTCACGTTTTGAACATTATCCTTATTATAATATATTTATAGTGAATATACTGCGAGAAACCGATATTTATAAAAAAAAATTAAAGTAGTTCCATTAAAAAAACATAAATCATCTTCAAATGACCTTGAAAATCGTCATTTAGAAAAAGTCAGTAGCGCCAACTTCTTTCCTCCTCGATATTCTACAACTCTTTTGTCTGAAACATTTTTCTCTAAAATACATTGTTCAAGAGATATAATTGTATGGATTTTTTTAAATGGGACACCCTGTATATTTATAATATATACTATGCTATATATAGCATATCGTACTTTCATAGTATATACTATATAGTAGATATACTGTATATTGTATATAAATAATAAATACATATATATATTATATATATATAAATGATACTATACTATAGTGTATATACTATAAATATATATACTGTAATATACAATACCATAGTATATTTTCGCTTGCGAATGCTAGGAATTAATTTGATCGAACGGTCGCGCTCTCGCATAGTTTCTCTCCTTATCCTCCATACCGGACTCGCATCAAAAATACACAGTCGTTTATGCGCGGTTAAAACTGCCACACGTGTGTGATCCAGTGACCTATAATTATAATAATGCATTATCGCTGAGCTAACAATTAAAAAAAATAATAATTTTTGACATTTGAGATATTTTTTTGTTCCTAATTAAGATAAAGCGCGTCACGGAACTATGAATTTCTTTATATACAATAAATATTTATCAATCAAAATTAATATTAGACGCTAGTGGTGAAAATAAACTTGGCAAAATTGATTTCGACGTAACTAGCAATTTTATTCAATACTTTCACGACGTTTCGACCATTTGGTTGTGGTCCTTATCAAGTGAGAATTCTATAACACAATATTACACAATAGTTTAATAATATTACACAATGTTGAAACATACAAGAACATATTTAAATGTTAAGTTATGACCACAAACATACCCATCAATTAAAATGAGATTAACGCAACATAAAACCGATCTTATTTAAAATAGTTAAAAGAGAAACACGTCTCATCGCTATGATGTTTCGTCAAACGACTAAGTTATATTTATATTTGTCGATATATATATTTTTTAATATAACACAAAAATCTTTGATAATAATGGAAGACAATCTAATGCTAACGGCATTGTTGTGTGTTAATAAAATATTGACGAAAAATATACAAGATTTTTTTACTTTTAAAATTCTTATTAGGAACTAAAAAGAAATGGTTTAAATTTAAAAATAAAAAGAGTAAGGAAAAAGTCAATTTTTTCTCATGCGAATAGAAATACGTCGTTATATCATCGTACCGTGTATTCTTTTGGAAATTGAGGTCATTTGTTCATACATTGAGAGAGAACAGGAAAAGAGATATATAAAAAAGTCAATTAACTTTTAAAAGTGTATAAAAAAAGTCAATTGACTCCAATTCACAAACTTCAGATCAAACTATCTTTATTCATAAAAAGATAGTTGTAGAGTTTTTATATTTGATTATTTTTAACAATTTTTAAAAAGTTAAAATTATTACACAGTTGTGTGGTCTAATATAATTAAAAATTAGTTGTGAAATAGATTCTGGTTGCTTTGTTTAATGATATGCAATAATCGCAATGGTATATAAAAAATTAAGATACTTTATATATACAGTTTAATTAAACATTGTCTAATTAAATTAATACAATCTATTGCCAATTCGTTAACAATCATGATTTTTCATTAACAGAATAATGATACACTGCATTTTTTATAATTCTGTAATTTACACTAATATTATTTTTGTAATTTGTTCTATATTTTATTCTGTAACTATATTTTTTAAATGACTTTATTATTTTTAATAAAAAACAGGAATAAAAACATAAATTAGCATTATTGCACGAATTTGTTTACCGTTAAAGTAATAATTGTATTTTTAAATAAAAGATTTTTTATTTAAATCGAAATATGAGGTTCCCATATGCATATATATATATATATATATATATATACAGGGTAGGCCATTTTAATCTTTCCACTAAAATTTCTCAAAATCCAAAAATTTAAGACAAAAATGTTTCAGATAAAAGTTGTATGGTTTCAAGGGGGACATGAGATGGTGTCATTGATTTGACCTTGAATAGCCATTTGAAGGTTACGTGAAGGTCAATTTCAATTTCTTAAATGGAACACTATATTTTTTCTTGCATACTTTTGTAGCTGACTTCGAGATCTTTCCAAAACACTACAATAAAATATTTTTTCATGAAGTATTTTTCGAGTTATTAAGGCTGCAAATTTGCAGTATTTTGACATAAAATACAAAATATCTTGGGAAATATTCATTTTTCGATTATCATACCTTAATACTTTTATGCACAGAATAATGAGATAAATCAGTTGATGTAAAGAAAACACATAGTTACCTTTAAAAAAAAATATGAAAATTGCAATAAGCAGTTAGATAATTTTTCTTTAAGACAACTATGTGTTTTCTTTACACCAATTGATTCGTCTCATTATTCTGTGCATAAAAGTATTAAGGTATGATAATCGAAAAATGAATATTTCCCAAGATATTTTGTATTTTATGTCAAAATACTGCAAATTTGCAGCCTTAATAACTCGAAAAATACTTCATGAAAAAATATTTTATTGTAGTGTTTTGGAAAGATCTCGAAGTCAGCTACAAAAGTATGCAAGAAAAAATATAGTGTTCCATTTAAGAAATTGAAGTTGACCTTTACGTAACCTTCAAATGGCTATTCAAGGTCAAATCAATGACACCATCTCATGTCCCCCTTGAAACCATACAACTTTTATCTGAAACATTTTTGTCTTAAATTTTTGGATTTTGAGAAATTTTAGTGGAAAGATTAAAATGGCCTACCCTGTATATACAGGGTGTCCGGTAACTAACGGACCAACGATTACAAATGGATTCTTTGGTCAATTTGGAAACGATTTTTCCTCAGCGAAAATGTCAAATAAAGTCATCATTTTTTACAACTTTCCAATATTTGTCATTATGTATCTTTATAACTAAGCCTCAAATTAAAATTTTATTATAGTAAACTCTACCTGAAATTAACTAAAGAATGTAATTATGTTAGACTTTTAACTCCAAAACGTTTAGTTTTCAAAAGACCCATTTTTTTCAATCGCTTATAACTCGAAAATTATTGACTTCTTAACATTTTTGCTAAGGAAAAATTGTCTCCAAATTGGCCAAAGAATCCGCCCTTAATCATTGGTCCGTTAGTTGCCGGACACCCTGTATATATATATTTAAGACAGTCTCTCGCACACACAGTAAGTGTTTTCTTTATATTATTTATAATATATTCTTTTTATTATATTATAATATAAAGAAAAATTAATGAAATAATATTATTTTTAATATCTGCTCTTCTTTTTTCTTTTCAAGTTTAAGAGCTTTCATTAATCATAAATAAATTTTCATAAAAATAAATTTATACACACACACGGGTGCGCGCGTTATATATATATATATATATATATATATATATATATATATATATATATATATATATATGTATGTGTGTGTATGTGTGCGTGTACAAAGCAGTCTACGCTACATATTACACGTTTGATAAAAATATAGAAATTAATATTTTATCGGTTATATATGGTAAAATTTTCGCATATATATATACAGAGTGTCCAATTATAATCGACCATCTTCAAAAACTTTTTATTTTTGATTGTAGAACAAAATGTTTCGAAGTTGTTTGATTTGAAGGGAAACTGGAGCTACTGATTTCAAAGGAAACAGAAGATGATCTTGAAACATTGTCTTCAGAAAAAGTTCTCTTCAGTAACGTCATCTTCTGTTCCCTTTGAAAAACTTTTGGATATATGAAACATTTTGTTATATAATAAAAAATAAACAAGTTTTTGGGGATAATCGTTTAAAATTGGACATCCTGTATAATATATATATATATAATATATATATATACATGTTAAGAACTTTTTATTAAGTTAGTCCAGTAAATTTCTTCTGCCAACTTAAAAATGTTGTACATACGCATTTTATCTTCTACAGTCTTTTTTTAAAGATGTAGTCGAATTCAAGTTCACAGTTAAATTTTACAGTTGCGATCACACAGTTTCCACTTGACCCTTTCTACGCGATTTAGATTCTTGTCCTTGTGGAGATGTGAAGGACGTTTCCTCGGAGTGTTTCCTGATCATAGATGAAGATTCATTGCTGTTTAAGCAAGCTGCACCCTGACTGTCCCTTCTTTCCGAACACATATGTGAAGCGTTCAGCCCGTTGGACGTGAGGGAAGCTTTGCGGATACGCATATCCTCTAAAGGGATCTCCTCGCTTCGTGGCCTCGGCATCTTGGGCGAGCTGTCTCTAGAACGCAAGCCGTTCTCGTGAACCTTCTCGCTCGAGCTGGCGTCGTCGCGTTTGGAATTTGGCGATGCCGCTGGTCTATTTTCTCTACGCATTTGCGCGGCGAATCCAGGAACTTTGTTTACCATAAACATCGGCCTCGCTTGTTCCTTTTGCGGTCTTTGACCACGGCCGACGATACCTGGAGAAATTCGAATTAAATTCGATTTTTGCTCCAGGAAATTTCTGTCTTAACAATCTTTTCTTCTTCGGTTTCATACTCACGTTCGTGTCGTAAACCACGCAAGGCATAATTGGGCGGTGTCGAACAATGAGGTACGCTTGTCGGAATGTCTAGCAATCTTGCAATTTGATTCATCTTCTTCTGTCTAGCTTTTATTCGCCCCTTTGTTAGCCTTAATCATTCGATAAATTCAAATTTCACGATCGAATAATGCGATACACTATACTATACATATACTATAATATAGTATTATTTAGTATAATATATAGTATTATATAGTATTATAAATAGTATTATATATGCTATAATATAGTACAGTATATTATATGCAGTATAGTATATATAGTATAGTATATATTACTATAGCATAAATTATAAGTATGTATATACTATACATAGTATAATAGAGTATACACTATTATATACTATAATATAGTATACATTAGTATATACTATATACTGGTATATACAGTGCTATATATTACTAGTACATACTAGTAGTACATTACTACTATATATACTAGAATATACTACTAGTATATATTAGTACTATATTAGTATGTATTAGTAGTGTATCTAGTACTATATACTACTAAATATACTGGTATGTACTAGTGTAGTATATATTAGTATGTATTAGTATAATATATATACTATACAATTATATTATATTAATACTTTATTAGCATATAATATATATATATATATATATATATATATATATATACATATATATATATACATATACACTATGAAGTATATTTACTACAAATAAAACTGACCTCTGTTTGGCGGCCATGCACCGAATGTGGTCGTCAAAGATAAATTTAGCCGATAATAGTGGTATACGATTGCCCGTACTGCTGTTCAACGGTTTGTAAATTGTTAGATGCAAACATCTCGAATCATCCTTGTCGCCGGCCACATCGATATCTTGTAAGAAACCGACCAGCTTTGCGACACCCCATCCAAGTTTGCTGGTGTCAGGTTCCACCAGAATCAATTGTACCACGTCGATGACTAAAAAACGGCGAATTTTCTGACCGTCTTTCCATACGACGGTACACGCAATCAAGTCACTATTATCTGCAAAGAATAATATTTTATACATGTTCGCTTTTCGAGTAATTAATCATGTCTCGTAAGACAAAATAATGTTTACTTAGATCAAGAACGTTGTTAATTTGCACGCAATTAGCAGGATTGGTCAGAGGCAATTGGGTCTCTGGTTCCATATTGAGCGTCAAAGCTAGTTCTCTTATCAGGAAGAAAACTCTTATCGCACGTCGTGCTCTTTCCACCTGCACAATTATTCGCGATTTCGTTTTCTTAATAATAAATTGTAATACCGTTACTTTCTTAAAGTATTATGAGTATATAATTTATTTATAAGAAGAAAAAATAATGCATATGTTCTTCCATTTGTACCTACCTCGCCACACGGTAATCTCTTACTAAATTCAATACCAGTCATAGGTGTGCCTGTAGGAGGCAATAAAATATTGCTATCCATCATCAGCCACTCGACATTCAACGGTCGCTTTTGTATTTCGCTATACTCATCCTCAAACATGTCCAAGAAAATATCTTCACTCTAATAAAATAAAATGTCAATTTTTATCAAAACAGCACTTACACAAGAGAATATTAGTATAATATAACAGTACAGTATATAAAATATACTATTATATAATATATAGTATGTATATGTATATGATATAGTATAGTACTAATTTAGTGAGATATAGTATTAGTATAGTTTAATAGAATGGTGGTATAAGGAGTTATATTATAGTATTAGTATAGTATTTATAATATATTATATATACTACAATATAACGTATACATTATATATCGTATACTATATATTAGTACACTATATATTAATAGCTCTATATTATAATAGTATACTATAATATAGTATATACACTGTAGTAGTGTATACATTATATATCGTACACTATATATTAATAGCTCTATATTATAATAGTATACTATAATATAGTATATAAACTGTAGTAGTGTATATACCACATTATAGTATACTATTATAATATAGTGCCACCTACTATACATAATATGATGTATTATTATATTATACTATAATATATTATAATATAGTAGGCTATATTATCTATATCATATTTTACTATAATGTACTATATATGTATAGTATACTATACAATAATACAGTATATTATATGTATATAGTATACTACATACACATTCTATAATAGTCAGTGTAGATAGTATATTTATAGTTATATAGTTGTAATATTTTCTGACAATTTAACCTTGTAAAAGTTTTTGAGCAAAGATGTGCTTTGTTCCTTTGCCGCTTCAACGGCTGCCAAGTGCGACTCTCGTAATAAACATTGTCCTTCGGATACCGTCAATTGTGTTAATAGTTTAATGGTTAACTCTAATGTAACGAGCCTCACTTTGGTGTCTATGTATAGAAAAAACGAAACAAATTTTCATATTATTCTTTTGATGAGAAGCACAGAAATTGCAATACTATATAATAGAGAATATATTATAACATAGAATAATTAACATAAACTTACTAGTCTGGCAGCTCAAAGTTATAATATGAATCAATCTATCCATGAGCAATTCATTATATGAATTTTTCATAGTCGTATTATGAAACGGAGACAAGATTACATCCAGAGTTGTATGACTTATACCCTTTACAAATAAGTGGAAATTGGTTTATTATTATTATTATTATTATTACATAAAACATATTTGGAAAAATATAGGACACATATACAGTGATTCACTTTAATCTTAATAGACAAATATTTGGAAATCATGGGGTTTTAGAAGAAAAAATGCATCAGGTATGATTTCCAAATATTCGCCTGTTGATTAAAATAAATTATTCTGTATATATCCCTATTAAAATTCATATAATACTTACTCGATTATTAGCTAATGCGTATAGTAGACAAAGGGCGAATAACGCAGCGTAATCGTTTTCCGCGCATAATAATGAACTGATTATTGTTTCTAGAAATGGCTTCTTCTCTAAAGATTCGAGTACGTCACTCTGACTTTGCTGAGACAACAAGGGACTCTCCAAGGCCAAGCGTTGCTCCTTCTCCTCATCCGTCACATTCAACTGTTTGATCTCCTCTAAACCCTCTTCGTGCGGAATGCTTCTATTTAGCGGCGTATTCATATTTGCTGTTGCAGCAACATCGGAAGACGTGCTTGGATGATTATTGAATTCTTGCGAGTTGTCAATCGAAGCCTGCACGGTCAATTCCTTCGCGTTTCTCGTGTCGCTCTCTTCATTGCCAGGTTCTTCGGAAATTGACAGCGTTTCGACGCTCAGATCGCTTTCCAGCGATTTTTCCAATGACGTGTCTTTCGACAGCGTAAAAGACTTCGACGTTGCATCCTGAAGCTTCTCCAAGACCCTATTTGTTCCAGTTTGAATTGTCTCCAAGTCAGACATGAACATTATGACCGCCAATGTGTGCACAAGAGGTCCGTGTGAAACTATCAAAAAGACTTGAGAGAGTAGGAAAAGCGCTACCACGACGCTGACGTGTTTACGTTCATCCTTAAAAAAATGACTTGAATTATTCATTGTTATAAGGTTATTCATTTTAATCGCAGGCAAATATTTCTAAAATTATGAGATACAAAAAATGTTTCAAAAGTTTAACTTTGAAGGGGACATAAGATGGTGTCATTGGTTTGACCTTGAATAGTGCTTGAAAGTGACCTTCAATTTCTTAAATGGAACTACGTATTTTTATTATAGGGTTTTAGAAAGCTCTCAAGATAAGCTACAAGAATATGCAATAAAAATCATAAAAAGAAATTGAAAGTGACCTTCACATAACCTTCACATAACCTTCAAATGAATATTCAAAATCAAATCAATGACACTATCATATGTCCCCTTCGAAGTAAAAAAACTTTTGTTTAAAACATTTTTTGAATCTCTCATAGTTTTCGAAATATTTGCCTGCGGTGATTAAAATGAATCACCCTGTATAAAAATTGAAAGAGAACAGAAAAAAGATTTAAGTTTCTCCTACCTGAATTTGGCACGAAACATTCTTGTACTTCATCAGAGAATAAACATACAACGGGACTAATAGTTTGTGCAACAAGTGTTCCGATAAAACCTTATTCAAGTCTGGTATATTCAGGGATAAAATATCATTTAAATAATGCAAATGATCCAAATGTTCCGCAACTAAATCCGACAGTCGATTTTGACTCTGATGACTGGAAGAGAATTATTTTATTGATAAAATGAAACAAAAAAGAGAGAGGCTGTCTTATAAACATGTAATATCCAATTAGCAAACTGACGTCATGAAACGTTCAAATGACGTCATTTGACGTTTAATGGCGTTAGTTTACTACCTAAATATGGACTACAGTCATATATACAGATCTGGGCACTCGGCTATTTTCCGGCCATTAAATTAATGCGCTTCGTGAAACAAAAGTTGCGAAAATATGCCGCAAAATCGTGGTACGCTACTATTGAGAAAGCAAACTGTGTAACAGAGAACGATATATACGGCCGTCACGCTCACTCACATGCCGACTCATTACTAGCGACATGCGGCAAAACGAGTCAGTTTCATTAAGAGCATCACGTTTCTGAGGCGAGTGCTCAGACCTGTATACAGGATGTCCCGTAAGTTGAGGTCAATCGTTTAGGAGGTGAATGGGAACCCAAAAATGAGAAAAAAAGTTGATATAAACATAGGTCCGGAAATGCGTTGTTTTTGACCTACTATGCTAAGCGACCGCTTAGCCCGGGTTGTATCTTGATAGTGCTGGATAGTGCTAAAGCAGTCCGCAACTTTTATTCAACTTTAATTATCTTATAGAATTCATAAAAACCAATTTCAATTTGTGGTTCATTGTTCATGGTTCAATTTTGACCAAAAAATTCGAAAGTAAAGCAATTTTAAATTTTAACGTAAAAATGGATAACTCGAAAACAACGCATTTCCGGACCTATGTTCATATCAACTTTTTTTCTTGTTTTTGAGTCCCCATTCACCTCCTGAACAATTGACCTCGACTTACAGGATACCCTGTATATGACCGTAATATAGACACTTACTCGGCATCATTTCGAACGCAGGTGTCCAGTTCTATAATATGGTCACCGATGAAATATACGAGATTGCTGAAATACGGTGCGGCTGTACGATCCCTTATGAAAGCCAGCATGGATGCGTCCTCGACGCGATACACGTTTAGCGTCAAAGTTCTCACGGCTATGCGCACCATGCCCTCCGAATGATTGAAGAATTTAATTGCTTCCGTGTACAGCGGAAAATCATTGGTGTGCTGATAACAGAATGAACTTGTCATAAATTTGTCACGATGGATTTTAGCATAATTTTGATACACCCGCATATCACACAAGGGACAGGGTGTTTAATTTTAATTGACCACCCCCCAAAAACTTTTTTATTTTTGATTGTACGACAAAATGTTTTCGAAGTTGTTCGATTTAAAGGGGACAAAATATTTACTTTTTCTGAAGGACACTTTTTAAGATCATTTAAAGATTATTTGTTTTTCTAAATAAAAGTACTATAATTTTTTTATATAAATCGATTCCTCGTAATTTTTGACATAAAAAGTTATAATGATAAGATCAAAAATTGCAAGAAATCGATTTATATAAAAAAATTATAGTAGTTCCATTAAAAAAAAAGTTATCTTTAAAGGACCTTGAAAAGTGCTCTTCAGAAAAAAGTCAGTAGCGCCATCTTCTGTCCCCCTTCAAATCAAATAACTTTTGTTGTACAATCACAAATAAAAGTTTTTGAGGGTGGTCGATTAAAATTGGACACCCTGTATAAAAAAAAGCATACATACACACAAACACGAATCACTTTAAAAGCTCATTCAACAGATGCAAGCAGTCACTAATTAATTAAAAGACAGACACAGAGAATCATTATGTATACCTCGTTTACCTCATTATAAAAGAAATGAATGGTATGTGCATTTAATTTTAAACTCAGTGTTTTCAGAAAGCTAATATAGTATGCCATTACTTCCTCATCACTAAAATCGAATTTATGCACTATTATACTGTTTACATGATTATTACTCAATAGATAATCTGAAAAAACGGAAAATTTTAATATGTATTTTAAAACTCATAAATCGATATATGTATAGAAAAGAGCTATTTATATCTCTTATTTAATATTTAATATTTAAGAGAATTATATTACACTCACATAAAGACGTCTCGTTGCGTATGTTTTCAAATAAAATATTTAACGTTTGAAGCAGTTGAACACATACATAACTTCCACATTTTTGTTTCATAATACGCAAAAAGAATGAAAGCATGTTTTTCTCCAGAAAAAAACTGCAAATATATATTTTGTGAGTCACATTTTTGTATATTTTGCATCATTAATATTTAATGACAATAAATTTTTAATATAAGGATACCCTTTCTATTTTTTTTTAACCCACAAGAGAAGATATCCCTTATATTAAAAATTTATTTCATTAATAAATATATAAGTGTCCTATTTTTTTAATATGCTTAAATATATAAAAAATCGTTTTAGAAACCAATGTTTTATATAAAAGTAATTTAGTTTTGAAAAGGAAAGAAGTTAATAATTTTAAATTGTAGCTAAGTTTAATTATTTTCGAAGGTCAATTTTGTAAATAAAGTCACCCAAATATTTTGTATATAAATCAGTATTTTGAGTAAGTTAATATGATTTTTTAAAACTAAGTTAAGTTAAAATTAGTTACTTATAAAATTAATTTAATTAAGTTAAAAGTTGCATGAACAAAAAATTATATCGGTTAAAGTTAAGATTAAATTAATTAAAGTTAAATCCAAAGTTAATTTTTAAAAACATTATTTATATTAAATTAAAATTCTGTTTGTCAATTCTTTTAAAATTTACAACAAATAACAAATTTTTATTTGATTTTTATATAGAAATATATAAACATAAAAAAATAATAATACTTTAATAATACTTTACTTTTTATAACTTATAAAAAAAATGGGGGGAGGGATTATTCAGAGATAAAAAAATTTAACTTAGAAAGAAAGTTAGTAAGTTTAAAGTCAAAAATAACTAGTTGAAGTTAAAAAGTGATATATTTTAAATTAACTAAGCTAAATTAAAAATTATTAACTTTTCAACTTTTAACTAATTAACTAGTTATTTACCTAACCCTGATATTTTGTATCAGTTCCTTAGAAAAGTTCTAAAGGTAGGATGGCTAAAAAGTGAATAGTTTATGAGACATTTTAATAATTGTATAAACTATGAAATATCTCATAAAATATTCATTTTGTTATGATCTTACCTGAATATTTTCATACACAAAATAAAGAGAGAAATTAATATATGTAAAATGGAACACCCTATATAAAAAAACAGAAACAATTTTTTTCAATGTATTCAGCATCAAATTAAAAAAAAGAATATGAATTTGAAGTCTTAAAGAAAACTTATCTAGTTGCTTCTACTCAGGTGGCAACGGTAATCATTTTGCTATAATTTGACGTCAAAATGATCATCTTTGCTATCTGGATACTTACTCGAATACACTGCTATCATTTTGATCACCCCATATGAGAATCTCAGCGATTGAACGTAGAGTTTCGACCAGTAAACCTCTGTTGTTCTCAGACACGGTTTGATTCTTCGACAAGACATTGTACAAGTATCTAATAAAATATAATAGATAAATATACAAGAAATAAATATACAAGATAAATATACAAGATAAATATACAAGATAAATAAACAAAATATAATAGATAAATATACAAGATAAATATATAAAAAATAAATCAACAAAATATAGATAAATATACAAGATATGTGGCTTGTGTCTCTTTTCAGCTAAGAACTCATCACCGATCATCCTCACTTACTTAAGATGCTCCGGAGAATGAGGATTTTTAGGCTTCCAAAGCCCTCCACCGAACCAGCTTCTACTTCGAAACATTTTTCTCAATTATCTCAAACGCTAAAAGATGCCTCACATTTTTTTAAAGAATTTTTGATGAATGTCGACTGATTATTGTTTTTCGATTTTTCTCTTCGACACCTCTGTTCTCTTTTGATTTTACTTTTGTTTCGTAATGGATAATTTTGTCGAGATAATATAAAACTTACATATTTTTTTGTATTATATCATATATTCAGGGTTAGGATTTTAATCCTTCAGACGCGAGCGATTTTTTTTATCGCGATTCAACTTATATTATTATATCTTTATATTATATTATTTGTTGGCACGTTAATCTTTCTCTTTTCAATCAGACTTGTTGAATTTTACACGAGGCAGTAATAATCCAGTTCGAAATTCAACTTTCATTACATACAAGGTAGAAATACGATCTAGGTTAGATTAGATTAAAGTTAGGTTAGGATTGATAAGGTTAGGTTAGGTTAGATTTACATCTCAGGTGAGAATTGAGTTTGTGGTTTGTTGTTTATTTTTATAACAAATCTCTCATATTTACATTTCATCAAAAGTGATTTCAAGAAGCGTTTATGCTTATTTTCATAATTATATTCTTTGATTTTAATATTTTTCTACTCAATATATACTTAAATATTTAAATATTTAAATACTTAAATATTAAATATTTAAATACGTCGAGTTTATAACTAAGGAAAAACAACAAAAAATCATAATACTATATAATTATAATCAGGAATAGGGTAAAAAATTATATATCTATACATATGTTATATTTTTTTTAAATAATTGTAATAGGTAAGAGTATTTAGGGTGAATCATTGATAATGAAAGTACTGGAACTCTATAGCGGCATTGGAGGAATGCATTATGCACTCCGTGGTATGTATAAATATTATTTGAGAAATGCAAGAATTAGCGCAAGCTTATATTACTCTTTCTTATTACATGTTTATATTACAGAATAAGTGCAAGCTTATATATTACTCTTTCTTATTACATGTATATGTTATAGAATTAACGTAAGCTTATATTACTCTTTCTTATTACATATATGTTATAGAATTAATCCAAGTTTATATTATTCTTTTTTATTACATGTATATGTTACAGAATTAATGCAAGCTTATATTACTCGTTCTTATTACATGTTTATGTTGCAGAAAGTGGAGTTGCAGCTGAAGTTGTTGCGGCAATTGATATAAATCCTGTTGCAAATGCTGTGTATCGTCACAACTTTCCAAAAACTATTCTTATGAATAGAAATATCGAGTCCCTCAGCACACAGGAACTGGAGAAATTGGATTTTAATGCTATATTTATGAGTCCACCGTGTCAACCTTTCACCAGATTAGGATTAAAGAAGGATGCTCTTGACAACAGAGCTTGTTCTTTGTTGCACATTTTAAACTTGATACCGGAATTGAAAAGCTTGAGATATATTTTACTCGAGAATGTAAAAGGCTTTGAAGTATCTCAAATGAGAGAGAAATTGGTACATTGTATGGAAACTTGTGGATACGATTATAGAGAATTAATATTAAGTCCATGTCAATTTGGTGTACCAAACAGTAGGAACAGATATTATTTATTAGCAAAGCGGAAGAGTTTGAAATTTTCTTTCGTACAGCCCTCGCTAAAGGATGATCTGTCTTCTAAATTAATAAAGTTACTGCCAAAAAGCAAGCACTCTATATTAGCAGAAAAAAACGGCAAGATTAATAGCAAATCTGGGAGAATGTGCTACACATTAGATAATATTTTAGAAAACGTTGAAGAATCTAAATATTTATTGCCCACAAAATTATTACAAAAGAGAGCATGGGTGTTAGATATACGAACGTCTGAGAACAGTGGTTCTTGTTGCTTTACCAAAGGATATGGTCATTACGCAGAAGGTACTGGGTCTGTTTACTGTCCATTTGCCGATGAAACAATTAAACTCAAATATGGCGAAGCTGGTAATAGGGAGAATAATTCGGACGAACAAGTGCAAGTCTTATTGGACTTGAAACTTAGATTTTTCTCGCCCAAAGAAGTGTGTAGATTAATGTGTTTTCCAGAAGATTTTGATTTTCCAAAGGATATTACAAATAGACAAAAGTACAGGTTGTTAGGAAATTCAATCAATGTTCATGTAATTAGCAGATTAATACATTTATTACATATTGAAAATAAAAATACATGAGAATTACTAAAATTGCATCTTCTAGTTTTTGTCTTAACTCGACCTTATATACCAAATTTGAAGAGAAATAGAAGACTTCAAAATGAATATTTTTTGCTAATACTATTTTTCTCTATGACGGTTTTAGTTTTATAATACTATAAAATAAGAGTTTGTGACTTAAATAATAAATAAACATGTAGGTGGAAAAATTAAATTGTGTTTAATTACAAAACACGAAACCCAAGTAGCAAACTGATATTAAATGTTATATAGTCATTTTTTTACAGTATATGCTAAAAAATTCCTTCATTGACTTCAATATAAAGGTGACAAACTATAGAGTCACAAACTTATGTCACATAGCATTAAACATTATAGAGAAAATTAGTATTAATACAAAATATTTATGTTAAAGTTCTTTTTCTCTCCCTTCAAAGTTTGTCGGTCTATAATTTATTTTTAATATCCAGTATATATACTTTATTACACGTGTATAAAGTATGTTCTTTTATATCTATATATACATTTTAAAAGAATACAGTAACATTATTAAAAAAATTGACATGTAAATTATGACATTCTAAATTATATTATTTTTATGAATAAATGAATTAAAGGTTATATATGCAACCCAAAGTCTCTCTCTTACAGATAAAACTTTCTAAAATCTAACAAAAATTAACACAAATATTACAACATTAAAATACTTATCAATTTCCATTATTAAATATTTTTATGGATAAATATTAATGGAGTTAACATTTAAACTTTACATGGTTTCCAAGTCTGGTGGAATAATAATTTTCTTTTCTAGGGCAAACTTTTTCAACGCTTGATACTTTGAATGCCAAGACTCTATCTCCTCCCTCATACGATTATTGTCATCTTGCATAGCTTCCATATCTCGATATTCTTGAGTCTTCTCAGATTCTAATTCATCTTTCTGTTCAATACGTTTTATGCGACAGCTGGCTGCGTACCCTCTATTCTTCAGAGTACGTCTTCGCTGCTTCATACGCACAATTTCTTCCCTGGATAGTCCACGCAATTTTAATTGCCTGTTTAAATCTCGTACTGATATCGTAACAAGTTCATCGTCGCTGATGTCGAGACACGGACCAGGTGACAATGGATCCTATATTAATAAAAGACATAAATCAAGAATTTATAAAATTTCAATATTTTTGTATAAAAATAAATATTAACGAAATCGTTTGTCTCTCATTTGCATATAATAAAACTATCTACAGGGTGTCCCATTTCCAAATAATTATCAACACCTTTTTCATTACTTTTTTCAATAAAATAAACTAGTATACAGTTTATTTATATCCATTACAAACTGCAGATTTTTCTCTTTTCAACAATTTTTTTTCTCAATTGCATGTATTAATAAAAAATAACAGCTGATTAGTTTCAGTGTTTCCTTATGGGACACCTTGTATTAATATATTTAATCAATGTGTAATTAATACATTTAATCGATTAAATTCGAAATTTTGAAATTCGATTATTTTTATATATAATTCGATATATATTTGACATTATTATATCTGCATACAAAAGTCGTATGCGACTTCGAAAATTAGCGTTCGCAAAATAAGATGCGTTACCCATTGTGCGATGTGGTCTGCATGACGTACCATTTTTATCGATCTTTTTCCATCCATGGACATTTCCGATTCGGTAGTTTTTCACGCTCGAGAATAAAATAGTCTCGAAAACGCCCGAATTCCCCTGTCTTTTGCGCTTTCCCAATAAATATGCTTAGTCATTCTCATCGTAGACCAGAAAGACGTACTCGCCATTCTCGTCAACATAGCACCATTCCAAAAACATCAATCTTATATATATTTTATGTACACTGTATTATAGCGTTTTCGATTGGGAAAAAGTCAAGGTGCCTTTTCATACGCAGCATGCTGCAGCAGTAAATCAGTCACGTGATCAAAATTTATTAGAGCATATTTCTTTGTTCTCTTATTATTTCGAGGTTTAAAATACGATTTTTGCTTTTATATTCTCACAATAATTTATTTTATTCTTAAAATCCTTTATTTAACTAATATAAGAATAACAATAATTAGAATCAACTAGTTGCGTGTTCTTTAGCTTTGCTGCTTTTGCTGTTCGTTCAATTGAACTTCACCAATAGCAATAAACTGCTGCGACAGTATGCTGCACATGAAATGATACCTTTAGTGCGCACCAGTGCGCACTCAGTTCACACGAACACTGGACAAAATCCATGGGTTGCACTGAATAGTGCAGGTGAAAAAGAACACGCCGAAATTTTCAGTGCCACTTGAGTTGACTAGATTCCGGGAAGAACGAAAAAATAACCTCGACATCTTGTGTTCAGTTAAGTAATGATTTTTATTATATGTAATTAAATATAGAAGATGATCAAGAATATCACGCATGACAAATATAAAAATTATTATTATTCAGTATAAAAATGCTATTACATTAAGTACATTAATTATATTTAAAAAAAGGGTATAGGTTCGATGTTTATATAAAAAGATATAACACTTACGGTGTCAATATCCATTTTTTTCACACATTCTACATAATTTACAGTTTTTGGAATTATTCTTCTAGTTCGAAGAGTTGTAATTATTTCTTCTTGCTCGCTTGAACTAGAAGATTCCAAAAATGTCCCCAAAATATTAAAGAGAGCCAAATCCGAATTGCTCATTATGTCGAAATTTCGTTCAAAAGAATGCCCTACTGCTTGCATGCATCCAGTGCACTGAACTGGCACCGTCAAAATATCTCGTGCCACTTAGTGCGCACTATGCGAGTGTTGTGCGTTCAAACGAACACGCAACACTAGTCAAGTGCGCATTGGCACTACCAATCGAACACGCGCCTGACATTCAGTGCAGCCAGTGCACCCCAATCGAAAACGCTATTACTAAATTACCTATTGTGGATTCGGCCTAAGAAATACACACACACACACACACACACATATGATTGATTATCAAATAGAAGAATTTTAGGGCTCCTTTATATTTATTTCTCAGCTACAAAGAACCTATATTATACATAAAAAAAAATTAATTATCTAATATAATAACAAATGTAAAAATAATATATACATATAGATAACACATAATATAAAAAAAATGACAAAGCTTAAATACGGTTAAAGCCCTATATAGTAGCACAAAATATCCGAAAGATATCCAGAGAACATCCTCATAGGATATTCTCCAAACGTCTTTGAATGTGTGTGCTGTCAGAGAGAACATTATTTATCGAAATATTAAAAAAAAATCGTTTACAAATTTTTCTTCTCTCTAATTTCCAATTTACATGGAAACGAGCCGGGATTTTTTTCGACGCGCAAAAGAGTCGCCCGAAAGGGCGAAGGGCGAGGAAAGGGCGCGTTGCGCGTTGCATCCCTCGGCCGGCGAGATCGATAAAGTAGAATAGAACAGACGGAGCGCGCGAACGTGCATGAGAGCGCTTGAGAGACGAAGAAGAGTGAGAGAGAGCGTGAGAGCGGGAGGGAGGGGGATGGCGCGCGCGCGAGAGGGCGGGTGGAGTGTGGGCGACGCGGCAGGGGGGGTGAAAGGGGAGGGAGGGGGCGGCAGACGGCGGCGAGCATAAAGAGGATAGGATAATATCGGTGCGCGTCCTCCTAGCGGAGGTGCCCTTTCGGAGGGGCCCGTATACGCTCTCTCTCTCTCTGTCTCTCTCTTCTCTCACACACACTCACACTCTCTCTCTCTCTCTCTTTCTTCCTCCGTCTCGTTCCCTATCTCACCCTCGCAGCCGATCCGCTCGCGGCCGAATCTGTACGATATGTAGTTATGCCGAAGAAGGGCACGCGGCGTGTGAGGGAGCCGGGGAACACGAGAAGCGTCCAGCAGCAGCATCATCATCATCATCGGCATCAACCGCACGGAAGTGCGGCGGCGATCGTTCCGGAAGTGGCCGAGCAGCACCATCGCGGCGTAAACATCGGGCCGACGTGCGGCAAGCGTTGGCAATCCCTGAAGAGACGGCTGGGTCTGACGACGGACGAGGATGTCGCGGTCTATCTGCTGGATCTCGCCGACTCCGTCGGCGCCACCAGGTAGGCGGGGGACTTTTCGGGGTTTTTTTTTTTTTTTTTTTCTTCTCCGTGGAATCGGCCGCCGACCCGTCATCCTCGTCGTCGAGGCTCGGGGGAGTTAGCCCGAGGATGCCGACGGGGACGACGTTTCGATTTGGCGCGTTGACAGGAGAGACCCTAACTGTCACCACGGGGTGATTCCCCCCTACTGTCATCCGACGCGTCGAACCGCCATCTTGCGGGGAAGGTGCACAGGAGGTTGGGAGGGGGGGGGGGGAGAACAACGTCGAAGCACTCGGATCGATACCCGGATCGTCGCGGCCTTTTGAAAATTCGCGAGGCAGGATGACGTTTTCAGGTTCGATCGGATGATTCCGCGACGAATTTCAATCGGGGAGATATAAACCCCTTATTCTTCTCGAGTAGAAACTGACGTCATTAAACGTCAGAATAACGTCATTTTGCCATTTAATTGTCATTAAACGTCAAAATCGCATCATTTTGCTATTTAATCGTCATTAAACGTCAGAATCACATCATTTTGTTATTTAATGACGTCATTCTGTATCAAAATGACATATTTTTCCTTACATATCCTTCACTTTGATCAATCTAATTAATTATAATATATAATAATAATAATTTTGTGAGAATATATAAAGATACAGTCTTCTGATACGTCATTTTGTCACCCATAATGATTTTACTCGGCGTCAAAATGACATATGTTACCTCCCAAGTAGCAAACTGACGTCATTAACGTCAAAATGACGTTATTTTTACATCTAATGATGCGATTTTGATGTTTAATGACATCAATTTGCTACTTGGGCTAGGATTTTCGCTCACATATCTTCCCAGTTAGCAAAATGACGTCACTTTGACGTTTAATGACGTCATTTTGCTATCTGGGTTAACTTTGATCAATCTAATTAATTCTAATATAATTAATTATAATTTCGTGAGAATACGGTCTTCTGATACATGAATTTTTCACCCAGGCAAGACGCCAAATGCAACGGAGCGGAGAACTGGAAGGCGAATCAGGTCGCAGAAGGTCACACTAAGGGGACTGTCAAGGTCGAGGCCGCAGACGAGGAAGAGGAGAAGGAGGAGCCTGCTTGCGGTGGACAGGATGCCCCCGACTCGGACCCGCTCAAGATGCGCGAGCCTTCTTCCGGTACAATAAGCGGGACGGTGTCGTCGAAGGTGTTGAACGACGCGATCAAGCTGCACGTGCGACGAAGCTCGAGGTCGAAGCATCACAAGAGCAAGACGCGGCATCACAAGGACAAGCGGAAGAGACGGCGACACTCGAAGAACGAGGAGATCGCAGCGGAATGCGTCAACGAGAACGCGTTGGAACAACATGTCGGGCAGAACTGTACTCCGGTAATAGAAAGCAAGGACTCGCGCGATTGCGAGACCACGACGACGACGACGACGACGACGACGGTGATAGTCAGTGAGTTAGACTCTAAATTAAAACTAGACATAAGCTTCGGAATCAACGCGGAGGATCCCCTTGATTCCATCACGACGAAGACTGAATACGTAGATAGCGTAAGGTTTAACGATGTAAATAATACTGCGAATAACGATGCCAGAAACGACGTCGACGATGATGCGTCCGGCGATCCGGCGAGGGATCCCTTGGAGGACGATAGAGTCCCTCAGCTGCACTTCAACGACGCTACGTCGTCGTCCTCGGCCATTTTAAAACGCGAGTGCAAAGCTGAGGATTTAAACGAGGACGTGGACTATCTGTTGAACCCGGAATCCAGTATCGGGGATATCGTAGTGGCGCAAGCCGCAGAGATTCCCGAAGAAGAGACCTCGAAATCTCAAGACAAGACCGAACACGAGGACGCGACTCCCTTCTACGAAGCGTCGCAGAAGGACGACGAGCCCAAGAAGGCGGAGGAGGATCGCAAACAGAGGAGGAGACGGAAGCGACCGCGCCACGACGAGCAAGCTGGCAAGAATGCCTCGGCGAAGGACAGCGCTTCCGGAGGCAAGGTTCCGGACGCGGCGACGACGTCCAAGCATCGGCGGAAGAAGCACAAACACGGGAACGAGCACAAGACCAAAAGGCACCACGACGTGCGAAAGGCGCCGCAGGACGGTATCGTCCAGGAGGAGACCCAGGCCGTGAGGCGCAGGTCGCCCGAGGCCGAGCCGCCCTCGTCGACCGTGGGACCGGCTGGGAAGGTCGCCGAGAAGCCGGACGCGGTTCTGTCGGAGCCGCAAAGGCTAGCGATCAAGATCAAGCTCTGCCAAGAGTGCGAGGTGCCCCACCTGCAGGACGTCTGCCCTTTCACGGAGCCTCTTCACACGATAGCCGACGCGATCGCGTACGAGGACTGGCTGAGCATGCACAAGCAGAATCCCGAGGTGACGAAGGCCCTCAAGTCCGAGGATCCCATGTCCGAGGGTTATGGAAGATTGGCGGACGACGGCTTCGAATCGGACGGCGACGAGTCTCTGGCCGCTAACGAGCAGTGCAAGACCAAGTCGAAGGCGCAGAGGGAGGAGAAGCAGTTGCTGGTGGACGCCGAGCGTCCTCTGTACGCGAGAGACTCCCTGCCGGACTGTCTGGAGCTGAAGATCGCGAATACCGATCACGGCCTGAGCATCTACGCCAGGAAACCGATTCCGATACGCGCCAAATTGGGTCCCATCGTCGGCAGCTCGGTGAAGGAGATGGACATCCCGGACGACTTCTCCATGCGACACATTTGGGAGGTATTATCGTTAGATTTCTATACTTTGCGTATAAAACACGTAATAATGAACCAAGGTGGCTCGGGAGAGTCTAATTTCTACGGCAAAGGCTTTTTATTTCTTTTCAGATAGATCATAATGGGAAGAGTGTATTTATCAGTACTACAGATCCGTTAAAGAGCAATTGGATGCGATACCTCAGACCGGCAGAGACGAAGGAGAAGAGGAACGTCGCGATGCTGACGACGAAGCAAGGTCAACTGTACTTTGTCACGACACAGAATATTCTGTCCGGGGTGGAGCTTACTTATTGGTCGGACTCGCAATCTTCCGCCTGGACGAGGAAGAATAAAATAGACAAGACAAGTACGCGGGGGTTACATATTTCAAGTAGCAAACTGACGTCATAAACGTCAAAGTGACGTCATTTTGACATTTAATGATGTCGTTTTGCTTCTAATGACGTCATTTTGACGTCTAATGATGTCATTTTGATTTTAATGACGTCATTTGATGTCAAAATAACGTGTGCTTGCTATCTGGGCTACATTAATATTATGTTAATCTGTCTGTCTCATACGATCACGCTCGTTCATCTTATTTTCAGATTGTGGAGGATGCAACCTTAATTTTGCTCATCCAATATATTACCGATTGCATTGTTGCGTCTTTCATGACATGAATTACAGTTTGACCATAAGGAAATATCACTGCAAGGTATTTTAATCTTTCTCGAATATTGTCTATACCTTGAATGAGTATGCTTGCCAAGTGTATTATTGTACTTACGTTATTTATTAACATGATCTTGTCATGTTTTTTTTTAGGTTTGCGGCGCCGCTGTTCTCGGCAAGGACAATATCATGAAGCACGCAGCGGAGTTGCACGGAGGTCGCGGCGCGTATCAGTGTCAATACTGCAAAAAGTTCTTCTTAAGACTGAATTACTTGGAGATGCATAGAACTTACGGATGCGCGCAGAATCCGCAACGTTCGCGACCGCTCTGCGACTTCTGCGGTCGCAAATTTTGTCAGCCGCAGAAACTCAAAGTGCACATCAAAAGAATGCACAGCGGTAAGAACCAAGCGTTATATTTGCTATATACACAGGGTGTCCCGTTTCAATCGATCACCCCCAATAATTTTGTCATTTTTGATCGTACCACAAAATGTTTCAAACAACATTTTGATTTGAAGGAGAACAGAAAATGGCGCTAAACTTTTTTTCCTGAAGGGTGCTTTTCAAGGGTACTTTTCACTTGAAGATCTTTTTTTAAATTTATTTGATTGAACTATTCTATATATTTTTTTTTATATATAAATTGATTTTTCTCAACTTTCGTCATAAAAAGTTATAAATTCTATTTAAAAATTTAATTGATCTTTAAAATGACCTTGAAAAGCTTTCTTTAAAAAAAATCAGTATCGTCTTCTGTCCCTTTTAAAATTAAATAAATAATTCTTGATTAAAACATTTTGTTATACAATCATGCAAAAATAGAAAAATTGAGGCGATTGATTAAAATGGAACACCCTGTATATATTATTTTCTTTTTACTCATTCCTTATTAAACGTGTTGCGCAGAAATGTCCGAAGTGCTCAGGGAATTTCAATGTAAATCGTGCTTGAAACTCTTGGGTTCGCGCGCGGCTCTGCAACGGCACATGAAGGAGGTTCACCACAAAGACGTCGTCGCCGCGGCCACGTGTGATCGTTGCGGAAAGATGTTCCAGAACAAGAGCAACTTGAAGATACACATGCTGACTCACAGCGGCGTGAAACCGTTCAAGTGAGCCAAGATTTACCTTTATTTCTTATCTTTGTCCTTGATATTTGTGTCATTTATTTTTTCCTCCCCTCATCAGATGCAAAGAGAACAGCTGTAAGGCGGCTTTCACAACGAAACAGTGTCTGCAGTTTCACTACAAGAAGGTGCACGGCCTTACGGAAGAGATGATGCCCAAGATCGAAAGATCCGTGGCGTACACCTTCGACGCTTACAGCGGTGGGCTTGTCGAGGACGGTGGAAGAACCAGTCACGCCAGCAGAAGGAATTCACAGGTGAGTTTCGTCCGAAAATTACGTAAGGATCAACGAAACCTCTTCGAATTCTCACTTTAACCCTTCATGTTGCTCTCAACAGGATAACAGCAACAGTTTACCGTCCCTGGACGACTGCAGCTCGGAGAGCAGCTTGAAGGTCGAGACGGCGGCGCCGAATTCCGCTCACAACGCCATCATGGATTCATTCCCTAGCGGGACGAATACTACTATAATCAAGTATAAGACGGAGCAGCAAGAGTCCCAGGTCCCGAGCCTGTCCGGCAGCCTCGACGTGACAACGACGACGCTGGAGAACGTGCGAACGGAGGTCGACATATACGGCACAACGAGGATCCAGAGCAAGGGCAGCAAGAAGTGGCTGGGCGAGTATCCGCCGCCTACGTCATCCGACATGGCTCAGTTGCAGCCGATATCTTCCTCCGAGGTGTACGATTTCGAGGACGGGAGAAAGGAGGTCGGCAACGAGAAGGTGATCTCCCGCACATCGAACCTGGTGATGGATAACAAGCTGGGCTTGAGCGTGTATCGCAGAACCGAGAGCGCGAACGCGAGTCTGCTGGTCGAAGCGGCCTTGGACGCCGCCGAGAGGGATATAGGAGCGGTGTCGAGCCCGATCCTGGAAGATAACGACCGCGAGGCCCAGCTGTACACCATCTCGAGCCAGCTGCAGTCGCCGATGCCGCAGTCCCGGTCGCCGAATCACATGGACACGTACATCCAGCAGCAGGAGGAGCTGATGTCGCCAGCACCGACATCCGACGATCGACACACTCCTCCCGGCCACCTGCACGTGGACTATCACCTGCACCGACCCACAGTCGACTACATCAACGTGTCGAGGACGCACAACATTGAGCAGTACCTGCACCACGAGGAGCTGCCGCGCGTCTCCTCGCCGAATTACATCCACCTGCAGCAGGAGGACATGGTATCGCCGTCGGCCACGCCGAACCCGCGCTACCAGGACGTGCACCATCACCATCACCACCACCATCACCATCACCAGGTGCCCACGGACAATCTGTCGAGCGACGAGGGCGACTCGGTGGCGCAAAATCTTAGTCTCTCCGTGAAGGAGAAGGCGCTGCAGCTCGACCTGTCGACGTCCTACAAGTATGACTCGCTCGGCGAGCAGGACTTCGCTCGGGAGAGATCCAACTTCGATCCGCTGATGCTGAACACCGGCGAGCTCCAGGGTCTGGATATGTCGGCCCGGGGTTTCCACCACAACTTCGGCGCCCAAGTGCAGAACACGCGCTACCACCACCACCATCATCTCTACGACATCGGCGAGCGGCAGAGCGTGGACCTCAGCAGAACCGGCAGCTACCCGATGTCGTCGCCTCCACCGCCGCCTCCGCCGCCGCCATATCCGTCGCACAGCGACGTGTTGCGGGTGGTCAGTTTGGATCTTACCCCGGGCGGCCGGCACAGCGTCGATCTTAGCCTCTCCAGGTCGCACCACCTCCACGGATCTGGTACCCGGGTCATCACCAGCCCGCAACCGGCCGGCTCGGTTGCGACGCACGTAGTACCTGACGCCGGCGAAGGTCCCCGAATACTCTCCCCGCCCCCACCTCCACCGGGATACAATCCCAGTTATCCAGTCAGTCCGGCCCCCTATCATCCTCCGAGACCCGGGTACCATCACTATCCAGGTTATTATTGATCCTTGTTGACCTTGCTCAAGGTCATCGCGGCGATTCAAGGTTTTTTCAAGGTCATCGCGGCGATTCGAGGTTTTTTCGTTAAGTTTTATTTCGTGTATTCGCAAACGTGTCTGCAATTTTTTTTTATTGTTTATCAAAAGAATTTATATATGTATATATTCAGGGTGTTCGCGAAATAATTTGGACAAATTTGTAGGACGAATAAAAAAAAGTTTATATGTATTACGTACCATGTATGAACTTTTTTTACATGAGGAGTAGGGTTTAGAAATTTGTTCGAGTTTTTCTTGAACACCCGGTATATAGATGTTGGTGATTTAAATTCGCACATTGTTTTACGTTGTGATATGTCCGGATGAAAGACGGAAACTGCCATTTTCATACGTTGTTTATAAAGTATATAGTTCGAAAACGTAATATTTTATTCTCGTAGTCAGTTCAGGTTTTAAAAATACAGAAAAAACTGTTTACGCGGTGTGAGGAAAAAAGAGCGATTTCGAAAAAAGCAAAAGTTTTTCGATTAAAAGAGATATTAATAAAAAAAAATTAGTGAGTATCTTATAATCATAAATGTGATTAAATGCGTTTAAATGCGATAAATATACAGCAAAAGCGTGCATCCATGACGTGTTTTAGAGAGGATGTTATTTTTTTAAAAAAAATTAGCCCGAGAAAAAATTTATTCCACACGAGAATGATGGACCGAAAGACGAGAGTTAATTTTAATCTCCGCGTAATTGTGTATAGCTGTTAAATTATTTATTCTTTATTACCTTCCTCTAATAAGCAGTATACATGTATGCAGAAACAGTATGATGTGTATGATGAGTATATCGTATATATAATATAAATATATAGAATGGTCGTTGCGAAATTGAAAAAAAGAAAGCAGAGATACATCGTGATCCAGTGCCACGTCCGTCAGTGATAAGTAAAATTATTAAGAAGTTGTTATTTAGCTCTTAGCTTATATATATTCTTCTATTTCGGATCTATACTTCATTCAGAAATACTCCGTGTGTATAACGTGGCTTTGGTGATAATTGCAGCATCCCAGATAGTCTCTGCAAAGACCATTTTCAATATGTATGTATATACAGAGTGGGCCATTTTTGTTTGACTTCAAGGGAGACACAAGCGATATCAATGAGTTTACATTTGGCGTCACTTTGAGAAATTTAATCATTTTCTTTAAACAAAAGTTTATATTCTAAAGTTTAAAAAATTATTAACTCATGGAAAAATTAAAAAAAAAAGACACTCAACTAATATATATATATGGTTTTTATCAACTTTTGCTAAACAAAAATTAGTTTCTATTTTCAAAAAATTTTTCCAAGATAGCGTCATTTTTAAGAAATTCACCAATCATTTTTTTTAACAAAAGTTTATACTCTAAAATTAAAAAATGTATCAAGAAAAGAACACTGAACTAATATATATGGTTTTTATCAACTTTTGTTAAATAAAAAAAAATCAGTTTTTATTTTAAAAAAATTTTTCGAAGGTGGCGCTACCTGCAAACAAATTTCTGACTTGTGCCCCTTCCTAGTCAAAAACAAGTTTCATACAAAACTTTTTTTATAAAAGACATTAAGTGACCCACTTTATATATGCACTGGCACGCAATATGTTAACAACAAATAAATATAATTTTCAGTCAAAACGGGACGTGTATACAAAAAGCGAGCGTTTGATACATCTGGGATGCTAATATTTGCGAAATAATTCAATCGAGACGATGCCTAACGCGGTAGCTTGTAAGTATATCTGCATGGTGATAACAGATTGTAATGTTCTTTTTATTCTAGTCATTATACATGTATATACTTATATATGTCATAGAGAGCGACGGCGGCATTATTAGCCATATAAGTTATATTACGAGCATTTCAGAATCGAATGCGAATTTTGCGGCTCGAAACTTGATTTGCCGCGCGAAAAATTAATCTTAACGACAAACACCCAATTAATTATTATAGTGATATCGACTTAATAATTCCATTAAAAAGCGACAATTTCAAATTTCCATTTTATATATACATATATATATATATATATATATATATATATATATATATATATATAGGTGTATGACCCCTGTGTGAAGTTAGCCCCCAATATTAAAAAGGTCAAAATTTTTTTCTTGCAAACGTTTGCCCATGAATGCCCCGTTGGAATTTTTGTTTGCCCCCCTCTAGTTCAAAAGTGACAGTCAAATCAATTTAGGGGGGGCCAATTTCACACCGGCCCCCCAATATTAAAAAATAAAAAATATTTTTTATGGAAACGTTTGCCCATCGTTTGCCCATGAATGCCCCATTGGAATTTTTGTTTGCCCCCCTCCAGTTCAAAAGTGACAGTCAAATCAATTTTGGGGGGGCCAACTTCACACTGGCAATTTTTTGTTGCAAACGTTTGCCTATTGTTTGCCCATGAATGCCCCGTGCGAATTTTTGTTTGCCCCCCTCTAGTTCAAAAGTGACAGGCAAATCAATTTTGGGGGGGCCAACTTCACACTGGCAATTTTTTGTTGCAAACGTTTGCCTATCTTTTGCCCATGAATGCCCCGTGCGAATTTTTGTTTGCCCCCCTCTAGTTCAAAAGTTACAGGCAAATCAATTTTGGGGGGGGGGGCCAACTTCACACTGGCAATTTTTTGTTGCAAACGTTTGCCTATCGTTTGCCCATGAATGCCCCGTTGGAATTTTTGTTTGCCCCCCTCCAGTTCAAAAGTGACAGTCAAATCAATTTTGGGGGGGCCAACTTCACACTGGCAATTTTTTGTTGCAAACGTTTGCCTATTGTTTGCCCATGAATGCCCCGTGCGAATTTTTGTTTGCCCCCCTCTAGTTCAAAAGTGACAGGCAAATCAATTTTGGGGGGGGGCCAACTTCACACTGGCAATTTTTTGTTGCAAACGTTTGCCTATCTTTTGCCCATGAATGCCCCGTGCGAATTTTTGTTTGCCCCCCTCTAGTTCAAAAGTTACAGGCAAATCAATTTTGGGGGGGGGGCCAACTTCACACTGGCAATTTTTTGTTGCAAACGTTTGCCTATCGTTTGCCCATGAATGCCCCGTTGGAATTTTTGTTTGCCCCCCTCCAGTTCAAAAGTGACAGTCAAATCAATTTTGGGGGGGCCAACTTCACACTGGCAATTTTTTGTTGCAAACGTGTGCCTATTGTTTGCCCATGAATGCCCCGTGCGAATTTTTGTTTGCCCCCCTCTAGTTCAAAAGTGACAGGCAAATCAATTTTGGGGGGGCCAACTTCACACTGGCAATTTTTTGTTGCAAACGTTTGCCTATCTTTTGCCTATGAATGCCCCGTGCGAATTTTTGTTTGCCCCCCTCTAGTTCAAAAGTTACAGGCAAATCAATTTGGGGGGGGGGGGGCCAACTTCACACTGGCAATTTTTTGTTGCAAACGTTTGCCTATCGTTTGCCCATGAATGCCCCGTTGGAATTTTTGTTTGCCCACCTCTAGTTCAAAAGTTACAGGCAAATCAATTTTAGGGGGCCAACTTCACACTGACAGAATTAACAGCCTCATAAATAAAATATAAATACAAAAAATAATAAAAAAAACACATTATATATAATGAAAAATAAAAAAGTATAAAAAAGAATTTAAAAAAAATAAAATTAAAAATATAGAATATAAAAATATAAAAAAATATAAAATAAAATATATAAAATACATAAAAACATAAAAAATTATACGCATGCGCGCGCGCGCGGACACAGCACTCACACACACACACACACACACACACGTACAACATCCATGTTGTACACCTTGGGTAAAGCTAATGTAGGCGGTATCATATATAAACTTTGATAATTCACGACTCGAAATTTTTTTTTGTAAATGAGCTTATTGTAAATCGGAGTGAAGATAATGGCTCTCCCACATTGATTGGCCTGTAATTTTTAAACTAGAGGGGGTCAAACAAAAATTCCAACGGGGCATTCGTGGACAAACGATGGGCAAACAATGGGCAAACGTTTGCAAGACAAAAGTGCCAGTGTGAAGTTGGCCCCCCAAAATTGATTTGCCTGTAACTTTTGAACTAGAGGGGGGCAAACAAAAATTCCAACGGGGCATTCATGGGCAAACGATAGGCAAACGTTTGCAACAAAAAATTGCCAGTGTGAAGTTGGCCCCCCCAAAATTGATTTGACTGTCACTTTTGAACTGGAGGGGAGCAAACAAAAATTCCAATGGGGCATTTATGGGCAAACGATGGGCAAACGTTTGCAAGAAAAAAATGTTGACCTTTTTAATATTGGGGGGCTAACTTCACACAGGGGTATATGTATGTATATAAAAGCTCGGCTCTCTCGACAAATATTACGTTTACATTTCTTACGCTTATATATGAAATATACACTCGATATATAGTTTCCTTTCCGAAGGAGGCTATATAATGTAATAATAGTTAATATAATTATTATTATTTAATAACAATTAAAAATAATAAATAATAATAATTATAATTTAATTATTTTATTTATTAATTTTTTTTTACTAGGCATACATATATATATAATTTGTAAAATTTATTTTTACAAATCAACGTGTGTATTTTATCATAAACGTTGGTTTTCGTGTCGCTTCCAGAGGTTTCTCTTTCTAGATTTAAATTAGCCCCATTAGCCATTTATCGAAACCAAAGATCTAAAAATATCTTGCAACTCTTGTGCCAAATCGAAAAAAGGCGCTCATTTGTTATATGTATATACATATATTGTATATACAGGTTTTTTTCAAGCTGAATATAGCAATTAAAGAGGGGAAAGGATCTATAGTTTTTTTTTCACGATTTTTGTCATATTTTTTTTTGTCGAATATTTTTTTCTTGATTTCCTTCTTTTTTTTACAAAGCTCTGCCATTTATAAAGACAGTTACCATTTTATCCTCATATATCTCTCACTTAAACGCAGTTTTACTTGCGTTTCATTAGTTTATGCATAAATATAAGGATACAACAAACGAGATACATTTGCTAAGACATAAAAATACATTTGTATACACACAAACATACACACATACATACGCGACAAAAGGAAAAATTCAAAAGAAATGTTTACAAGTACAAAATGTGGCACAGAATATATTTGTATCAGGTTTATTAACATTAATATATTGTAAGTGATATTAATAGAACATGACACACAATGGAATAAGTAAATCGATGTTGTACATATATATATTCCTCCTCATATATTCCTGAAGAAGAAAAAAATATTCTTTTTACAGAGAAACTCCCCGAGAATAAATGTGGTTCATTAAGAAATCTCTTTTCTGAATCGTCCCCCGTCGATTGAAATGAATCCTTGCATATAACGAGATCACTTTTCTGTTATGTAAATAGATTTCTAGATACGTGACGAATTATACGTGTCTTTTCTTGTATGAAGATTTTTTATAATGCAACTAAAAAAAAGATGAAAATTGCACGTCAGAAAATATACCGTCAGAATTAAAAGACTACTTCAAGGATCAAATTTCAATTATTATTCTAATCGTTAATTAATTTAAGGTGCGATCAATATCAAAATTTCTATCGAATTTATATACTTATCATATGACAGGATTAGGAACTAATTACTTAAAAAGTTAAAAAGAGTTCATAACTTTTAACTTAGTTAATTTAAAAAGTATTAGTTTTTAACTTTAACTAGTTATTTTTGATAACTTTTTTCCCAAGTTTTTTGTATCTCTGAAATACCATTATTGTTTTTTTTTATAAGTTATAAATGTATTATTTTTAAATTAAAGTATTATTAATTTTTATGTTTATTTGTCATCAATTAATTACCAAAAAATATATTTCTAGGTAAAAATCAAAATTTCGTTATTTGTTATAAATTTTTAAAGAATTAACAAACAATTCTAATTTAATATAAATAAATGTTTTTAAAAATCAACCAGTTAATTTAATTTTAACTTTAACTGAAGTAATTTTTTGTTCATGCAACTTTTAACTCAACTAAATTAATTTTACAAGCAACTGACTTCAACTTAATTTAGTTTTAAAAAATTATTAATATTTACCCAACCCTGTCATATAATAAAAAAATATGCAAATTGGGAATGCTTTCTCATTTTATTTCGCTTAAACTTTTTTATAAGCAAACTGCGGTTTTTTTAATTTTAAAAAATCTCATAGAAGAGCTTTGGATTTGTCGAAAACAACAAAATTTTGAATAAAAAAATATAAAATTTTAATATATAATAATATTATAGTACAATTAGAATTTAAGAATAAAAATTAAAAAAAAAAATTTATTTTTGTTATAAAATTTTACATGAAAAAGAAGCGAAATTTCGAATAAAATATATAAATAATGATAATGAACAATAGAATTTTATGAGAAAAATCTGAAAAATTCAGTCGATCATTTTGCAAATAATTAGTCAATGACAAAATTAATCTGACATGAGCTTAATTGAAAGAATCCTACAAGATTCGTACAGAGGGTCAAAAGGGGATAGTATATACGGATATAAAAAAATCAATAATCGACATATCGAATCAAAAGTATTGTATTATCACTGTGACTTATTTTTACATATACAATGTAAAAAAGAATCAACGACGAGAAGAGAAAAATCAATGTTGTAGCAATATTTGACAGATCGGACGATCTCTCGAGGTGTCATGGTTCGGTCAGGTTGTTATCCTCAGACGAGTCTCTTCAGCGTCTTCCGGCGATGATCGGGGCGGAATACGCGGCCGGAAGTGCGGAGTATGCGGCCGGAAGTGCGGAGTACGCGGCCGAAAGTGCGGAGTACGCGGCCGGAAGTGCGGAGTACGCGGAATATGTCAACGGGGCGGCCGCCAGATAAGGGGAGGCTATTGCGTGGTTGATCGCGTGTGCGTTGTAACTGCTGGCGTAAGTCCCAACTGTCAGAGCCGCTGGCACCGCTGCCGGAATCGCGGCCGGCACCACTCCCGCGTTGCAGGCGGCCACGAGCAGAGCGCCGACGACGGTCTTCATGTGAAATGAAATATTTTCGAGTTGTCAAGTTTCATTGTTCGATTAAAATTGCGGTTTCAAAATTGAAAACTTGATATAGTTGTTAATTAGTTAAAAGTAAAAAAATGTCAAAAAGTTCATAACTTCCCAGACAGCACATAATATTTATAATATATTTATAGAATATTTATAATCATTATTTTAATATTTTATCATAAATATTTTATAAATGTTATTGGAGTCTTAGATTCAATAGATCATAAATATTTATCATAAATCAGAAGATATTTACGATAAATATTATGGCACATATTATAAATATATTTATGAAATCATTATGATACTGATTTTTTAAAATTTATATTTTCTTTAATAAATACCCATGGGCGGCGGGTGGCCGTGCACGCTGCGTCACCGAAACTCGCCTGAGGCGAAGAATAAGGTGGAACGCAGGTTCGAGTCCACCCAGATATCCCAGTAGGAATAGATATAAACATCTAGAGTCCACATTCATGGAACCAGATGAGCTTGTATAATCAAAAAGGATAAACAATCTGTGCAATCTGGCGAAAAACGCCGGATTGGGTTTACAGGGATAATCCTCAAGCACAGCGGGGTCGCAAAGGAACTTTTAGATCTAGGTGATCTTTTTAGGGACTTATAAATTCTCACCCGCTCTTCCTACTACTAATAAATACCCAGTAAGAAATCATGAATTAAAAAGACATAATCAACGATTTTTCTGTCAAAGCAATCGAATGATATAGTCTAATCTAAAATTTAGTGGATTAGATGTTTTTGTGTTTTTCGAACTCTACTAGTTATTTATAAAAAATTAAAAATGTGTAAAAATGTTTATAAGTAACTCATTAGACATTTATATTTTAAAATAGAATATAAAATTATAATATACACTAAATATACTTAGGCAACACAGTAGATTAACAAATAAATTTACGTACACGTTGATATATGTACGTAAATTTATTTGTTAAAAGACATTCTGTTGCAGAATGTAGCTCAAAAATAAAAATAATTTTATGACATTATTAATTTTATTAATTTCCGTTTTTGCCAGCCTTATATAATTCTCACGACGAAAATTACATACGAGAAAGATACGTTATATAACGGTAAATAAAAGAACTAATAATTTAGTTAAAAAATATTTACAAAATAATTACTATAAATATTTATCTTTACATATACCATAAATATTATATGAAACATTTAATCTATGTTTTAATAATATGTTCAATAAAGGTTTTTATAAAACATTTTCAAAATATTTATATAATATTTGAAAAATATATATATTCATAAATATTTATGAATCTTTATCATAAATATTGTGTGCTGTCTTAACGTGTGGGTTTTAACTTAGCTTAGTTCATTTAAAATGTATTAATTTTTAACTTCGAGATAAATTATACGTGTCTTTTCTTGTACCTGTGCAACAGAGATTTTTATATCGTAACTAAAAAAAAAAAATTGCAAATCAAAAATATATTAAAATTAAAGGACCGCTTCAAGGATCAAATTCTTATTATTCTAATCGTTGATTAATTTAAGGTGCGATCTACATCAAAATTTCTATCGATAATACGATATACTTCTCATATAACTAGTTAATTAATTAAAAGTTAAAAAATAATCAAAAGTTAATAACTTTTAACTTAATTTAGTTAGTTTAAAAAGTATTAATTTTTAATTTCAACTTGTTTTTTATAAGTTAGAAACGTATTATTTTTAAATTAAAGTGTTATTAACTTTATATTCCTTTGTCATCAATTGTAATTACCAAAAAATATATTTCTATATAAAAATCAAAATTTCTTTGTTATTTGTTATTAAAAATTTTAAAAGAATTAACAAACAAAATTCTAATTTAATATAAATAATATTTTTAAAAATTAGCTTTTGATATAACTTTAATTAATTTAATCCTAACTTAACTTTAACTGAGTTAATTTTTGGCTCATACAACTCATAACTTAACTAAATTAATTTTATAAGTAACTAACTTTAATATAACTTATTGTTTTAAGAAATCATTAAATTACTCAATCCTGATCAATAGTATAATGTTTGTCATCATGTATCTTTTTAAAAAATGTGGGTTTGTTAATATTTTATTTTCACAAAAATTAGTTTGGGAAAAAACTTCAACATTTTCTGAGGAAAAATCGTTTTCAAATAGAATCTGCCATTAAAACGGGTTGTTTGGTAATTTTCATATATATATATATATATATATATATATATATATATATTTATTTATATATGTTTTAAATATATAGGATAAGGAAAAAATCTGGAAACGGTCAAATATCTCAAAGGTAAAGCAATTTATAGAAAATGTTTGAGATAAAAGTAGGATTTAAAAAGGTCGATCTTATTTATTAGCTTTATCAGTTTTACCCTTATAATATTTTCTACAGAATCTTACAAGAAATCTATTCACATAAGACATTTAGAGTAGTTTCACTTAAAAAATCAAGCTGATTTTTAAATGACTTTGAGGAACGCCACTCAAGGTCGAACTGATAAGGCTAGTAAAGAAACCTTTTAAACCGTACAACTTTTGTCTCGAACATTTTCTGTAAAACGCTTCATTTTCGAAATATTTAACTGCGTTTCCATCCTTTTTCCTCACCGTATATATATTATTATACATTTTTTAAATAAATATATATATTTAAATATTTAAAAAAATATATGTATAAATATATATATTTATTATTATATAAAATGTGAATAAATATTGCTAAAAAATGTACATATCTTGTCACAAAATTGAGTACAAAATTAATTTATATATTAATAAAACTGGCAAACAAATGTATATATTATTTACTCTTATTTATTCGTACTTGAAATAATTTACGAAAAAAAAACTTACGAAGATTTTGATCATCATTTTGACGGAGATAGCTGATTGTCCTCGCTGCGAAAACACTGCGATGTTACTATCTCGATTACTTCGGTGTCTTTTATATACCGTCCCCTTACGGGAACAGAGAATTCACTCCTCCCACTCTATGACTACTATTTGTTGTACAATTTCGCGGGGGCGTATCCGGAATAATTTAATACTACGCCACTCTTTCTCTCTCTCTCGCTTCGTTTTTAGATCGAGTTAAATTTTCGTCATCGCTCGAGTCACTTAGATTGCAGGCTTCGATCCGAAATTCGTCCGTGATACATGATTCATGAGTAGATTATGTATAGAAAATACAACAAATAACGAGGGTTGAGTAAGTTACTGATTTTTTAAAATTAAGGTAAGTTAAAGTTAGTTGCTTATAAAATTAATTTAGTTAAGTTACGAGTTCTTTGAACAAAAAATTAACTCAAGTTAAGAATAAATTAATTGAAGTTAAATAAAAAGTTAATTTTTAAAAACATTATTTATATTAAATTAAAATTTTGTTTGTTAATTCTTTTAAAATTTATAATAACAAATAACAAGGAAATTTTGATTTTTATATAGAAATATTTTTTGGTAATTGATGACAAAGGAACATAAATAATACTTTAATTTAAAAATAATACGTTTCTAACTTATAAAAAACAAGTTTAAATTAAAAATTCATACTTTTTAAATTAACTAAATTAAATTAAAAGTTATATTAACTTTTGATTATTTTTTAACTTTTAATTAATTAACTAGTTATTACCCAACCCTGTTATATGAGAAGTATATCGAATTTTCGATAAAAATTTTGATGTAGATCGCACCTTAAATTAATCAACTATTAGAATAATAAGAATTTGATCCTTGAAGCGGTCCTTTCATTTTAATATATTTTTTGATGTGCAATTTTTTTTTTAGTTGCGATATAAAAAATCTCCGTTGCACAGGTACAAGAAAAGAGACGTATAATTTATCTCGAAGTTAAAAATTAATACATTTTAAATGAACTAAGCTAACAATAAGTTAAAACCCACACGTTAAGACAGCACACAATATTTATGATAAAGATTCATAAATATTTATGAATATATATATTTTTCAAATATTATATAAATATTTTAAAAATGTTTTATAAAAATCTTTATTGAACATATTATTAAAACATAGATTAAATGTTTCATATAATATTTATGGTATGTAAAGATAAATATTTATAGTAATTATTTTGTAAATATTTTTTAACTAAATTATTAGTTCTTTTACCGTTATGTGACGTATCTTTCTCGTATTTAATTTTCGTCGTGAGAATTATATAAGGCTAGCAAAAACAGAAATTAATAAAATTAATAAAATTAAAAATGTCATATAAAATTATTTCTATTTTTGAGCTACATTCTGTAAGAAAAGACACGTATAATTTTATCTCAAAGTTAAACATTAATACATTTTAAATTAACTAAGCTAAGTTAAATGTTATCAACTTTTTAATTTTTAACTAATTAACTACAGCTATTACCCAACCCTGTAAATAACAAATGTACGAAAAATCCGAATAATTAATTATTCCGCTCAGACAGAACCTACGACACGTATAAATCGCTAACGTAAGTCTAGTCCACGTGATGCAATCGTGCTATCCTCACCTTGTCGCTTTCATAATCCTATTAAAAAGAAAAACAATATTCAATGACTCCTCCAAATCTCTGAATCTCTATCTTCAGTCTTCTACCTATCATTGTTTCCTCTCAAAATACTTCTCATGGAATACATTATGTTGTTCCAGGGCTTCGAGAGGCTATACTATAATGTACAATTCCCTCTTTGTCCGCCATTATCATCATCATCATCATCATCATCTTTGTGGTACATTCCTTTGTGAGGAAGTCGAAGGGATAGAACGACCGGGATCAATGCTCTACTGGTGCCCTCGAACCCATCGACTTTATGCAAAACGATTGCCGGGATTTGTTTTTGCCGTCAAGAAGCAGGATACACCTTCAAGGTCGCTGGCGGATGTGGTCGGGTGGGAATTCGAGTTTCCAGCAGCTACCGCAGCTGGACTCTCGTTCTTGATCCGGGTACATTCAAAGTGAAGGCCCTCTCTCATCGGGGTGCGTGTAGGTATCAGTGTTTGCTATTATTTAAAGGAAATTTTCTAGATGAAATTTTGGCGCCATCTCTTATCTTTATATAAATAATAAAAATATATGTATTATCTATAGTGTTTGCTGTTATCTAAATAAAATTATATAGATGATCATCTAGATAAATTTTTTTGGCGTCATCTTATCTCTATATAGATAATAAAAATCAGGGCGAGTAATAACTAGTTAATTAATTAAAAGTTAATAACTTTAACTTAGCTTATAGTTAATTTAAAATGTATTGATTTTAAGTTCAACTAGTTATTTTTGATCTTAAACTTATTTACTTTTTTTCTATGTAAATTTTTTCAGTCTTTGAATACCATTATTATTTTTGTAAGTTATAAACGTATTATTTTTTAAATTAGAATATTAAAATATTATATAATATTTATACTCAATTATAATTACAAAAAAATATATTTCTATATAAAAATCAAAATTACTTTGTTATAAGTTTTAAAAGAATTAACAAACAAAATTCTAATATAATATAAATAATATTTTTTAATCTTTGATTTAACTTCAGTTAATTTAATCTTAATTTAACTTTAACTGAGTTAATTTTTTGTTTATGCAACTTTTAACTTAACTAAATTAATTTTATAAGCAACTAACTTTAACTTATTGTTAATTTAAAAAGTCATTAACTTACCCTATCCTGATAAAAATATATGTATTATCTACATCTGCATTGTTAGATGAAAAAAGTATTATATTTACTAAACTTACTTACCTAGAATAATGTTCAGATAATTTGGTTTAAAGTTATAACACATAAAAGTATTAATATATTTTTACATCTCTTTTATAATTTATATTTTTTCTTAACTGTGTTTACATAAGCGGTCTTAAAAATAGCATTATCTGGAAATTATCTAGATGAGCCGCTATACATATAATATTATCTTTTATCTATTGTAGATATAGATTTTTATCTTTTATCTAGATATAAACTCTTTTATCGAGATGTCTTTTATCTAGATAAATGAAAATCATTTTCATCTTATCCAAAAAAAATTTACATAATTTTGTCTCATCTTATATCTAGCTAATTTTTAAATTATCTAAAGCCGGAAATTATAATACCGATAGGTACATGTTTATCAAGAAACAGGAACTTGTGGATTCGATGATTCCTTCGATATCGCTTTCGTTTCGTTTCTTCTTCGGCTACGATATTCGACGCACTTTCCTCGGCTACGTGATTTACCTGCTGAAGAAGCTACATTACGTAAATTGTCGGCCGCATACCTCTCGGGGTATCAGAGCGTGTGACCTAGAAATGTCAGTGCTAAAGTCGCGACCGGACTTCGCGATGACAACTTGACGCGAAATATTTCGGATTCTATCTATCGAAAATTTTTCTATTCTTCTTCAAAGATCATATCTTCAGATTACACTTTACAAGCTATCTCAATTTAATTTCCTTGTTAATATTATTATTATTATTATTATTATTATTATTATTATTATTATTATTATTATTATTATTATTCCCTAAAATCATGTAATTCACGAGATTATCTAGAATAATGTTCAGCTAATTTAATTTAGAGTCATAGAGCACATAAAAATACTTAATTAATAGAATTTAAGCGAGAAAAAATTTATAAATAAAAATAGTAATGTATTTTTATATTTCTGTTATAATTAACATTTTTTATAACTATGTTTATATAAACGGTTTTAAAAATTATCTATGAGTTACCTAGATGAATTGCCATATAATCTTACCTTTTATTTGGATATATAAAGATCTCATCTTGATCTAGCTAATTTTAAAATGATCTAAGCACAACACAATTTTTTAAATGATGTGTGACGTTAATGATAAAAATGGCCAAACCTCTCGAAATAAAAAATCATGATGGATCTTGATAGTAAAGATTTCGAGAATTTTCATTTTAATAATTGATTTTTTATCTTACATTTTTTATCGTGATGACCTTGATCGAGCGATGCGCCGGATTTTATAGGAAATATGTAGATCACCTGCGTCAATACCAGATATCCGCCCGATCGAAATTATGTAAATGAGCATACGGTTGCAGGCGGTTGCGCAATTCTGCGTATCTACGCACAACAATATACAACATGTATATGTTTGTATGTGTGTGACGCAACAGGAAAAATGATTACGCGAAACGCGTCCAGTGTTGACCAACATACTGTATTAGGTAACAATTGACAGAATTAGTTCTGTTCCCATATTAGAGGAAATTAGCAGAGTATATGGTCCCATGGACTCCTTGGATTTCATAGACGTTCCGCTCTATTAATTTCGATCTCATTAAATAGGACTTTTCTATTATTATATTCTTATATTATACAGAGTGTAACTAAATAAACATATAATGAGTACATCAAATTCTCTGACCAATTTGGAGAAACACCAATAATTTTCAAATTATCAATAATTGAAAAAAAGAATTTCTCACAAATTAAACTTTATAAAATTAACATATATTAATAAAACTACAATATTTTTTAGTTAATTTCAGGTAAAGTTTACTTTAATAAAATTTTAATATAAGGCTTAGTTGCAAAGATACAAGATGGCAAAAATTGGAAACATGTAAAAAATGGTGACCCAAATGGGGTTTCCAAATTGGTCGCAGAATTTGATGATGTGCTTCATATCTTCAGTTGCATCCTGTATATATATGTACATCCCTAACAGCGCAACATATCCAATATTCACAGGATATTCAGAGGATATCTAGAAGACATTCGAACATTCTCAGGATGTTCTCTGAACGTCTTCGGGATGTGTGTGCTGGGATATATACATTTTAAAATAAAATAAAATAAATATACAAAGAAAAGATATTGAGAGAAAAATCCTTCTTCAGAGACAGATAAAATTATCCGGATACTCTTGAGATGCACAAGGCATGAAAAAGATGAAGAAAAGAGGCTGAAGGAATTCATGTGTTTTTGGAAAAGAAGACATTGGCGAACTAAGGTATAGACGTAACGTCCACTACGTAACTCTAGCCATTTAATTGAAGGTTAAATTGTTGCAAATCGATGACGAAAACCTGGGCTTCGAAAGGAAAGTCACTACTTGACAATGCTCGTCGTGCCCGGATTCGGAAGAGTGCCAAGAAAGAAAGAAAGAAAGAGAGGCGTGTTTCGCGCATAGTATTCGCTAACCAGGAGACATCGACCTTGATAAAGCGGTAGTTGGGGGTCGAACAACAGTGGTATAAAGGCTTTTGGCTTTTGATTCGCAAAGCAGATTCTTCGAGTTCTTTCTCGCTCCAATAGCTCTATATCCCTTCAATCGTAAACATGTTCAAGCTGGTGAGTGTCTTTTTTCATATCATTTACTAATTGTTGACAATCTATACAGATTGGTGATGAAGATTGATTGCCATTAAATGATCGCGAAATTAGAATTAGAAAATATTATTTTACTATTATCATTCTATATATTTTTAATTGCAACAAGCTAATAAATATAGGAAATAGATAGAATTATTGACAAATGCTTTATTATACTTCATTCAACGAGAGAACGTGTCTGGTACCATTTATCACAGGCACTAATAAGTTACCCAAGTAGTTTGTTCGATCCAAAGGACGTTCTCTCATTGAACAAAGCAAAACTTCTTGATGATGTGCTTCATATCTTCAGTTAATATACAAAGTCTCTTCTTAATAGTTTTGTTGGCTTCTACTAACCAAAGATGGTCCAAGTAGCCAATTGACGTCATTTTAACGTTGAATGATGGTCGGCAAGATAAGATGCTTGCTATCTTATCTTGCTGACCATCGGTTACATGGAATATAAATGTAAACTCAAACTCGATTGCTTCTTGCAGTGCATCTTCGCCGCCATTTTTGCCGCTGTTTGCGCTGCACCCAAACCGGGTGCAGTTCTGGCTGCACCAGCAGTCGCAGCAGTGCCAGCACCAATTGTGACAGCCAGTAGCAGCCAAGTGATCGCCAGGAACTACAACACCTTGGCAGCTGCACCTTGCAGCTGCACCCTTGGCAGCTGCACCCTTAGCAGCTGCACCCTTGGCAGCTGCACCCTTGGCAGCTGCACCCTATGTAGCTGCACCATATGCAGCTGCACCCTATGTAGCTGCACCCTATGCAGCTGCACCCTATGTAGCTGCACCCTATGCAGCTCCACCCTATGTAGCTGCACCTTACGCTGCAGCCTCCTTAGCGGGTTATGGCACCCATGCCGTTGCTCCTGCCGCTTATTCCGCCTACTCGGCGCCCGTCATAGTATAATTTGTTTGTTCACGAATCGACCGGACTTGGATCTCTCCAGAATAACGAATAGATGGATTTTGACGGTTCAAGCGTCGCTCAAGCCTTTTCATCGTGACGATATTAAGTTTGTGTAATGCTCTAGATAATTGCAATAAAAGTTTCCAATTTTTTTCACCTCAATCATGGTATTTTCTTTACTTATCCTTACCTGTCCGTGTCCTGTCCTTCGACGGACTTCCGTTTGGATCTTCTTTCTTCTCGTTGCGAGCAAAATCTCTGTTAAAACAAAGGATATATATTTTTATTAATTTATTTATATCATCGCATATCTTATATTGAATTATTACTATTATTTACTTTACTATTACACTTGTGAACGAGAATAAAGTTTTTTGTTTAGTTGCCAAGGATATTTGAATGATTTGAGACAGTTTCCATATAATTTAGGGATAATAAGCTACGCCTGATGTTTTATAAATTCCATTTTTATTTAATCAACCATTATATACTTTATATTAATGTAAATACGATAATCTCTAAAAACTCACCTTTAAAAAAAGGTAAAAAAAGGCGACCAGTTAAGGGCACGCCATTAACAAAAATTATCCATTGCAAACCCATGTAGAATCCTATCCTATTGCAAACCCATGTAGAATCCTATAAAAAATTAATCATTGCAAACCCATGTAGAATCCTAGGCAAAATTAACCATTGCAAACTCATGTAGAATTGTATTAAAAATGATCCATTGCAAACTTATGTAGAATCCTACATTGCAAACCCATGTACAATAGAATTGTATGAAAAATTATCGATTATAAATTCATGTACAATCGTAACAAAAGTAATGAAATAAAAAAAAAATTGCGCCAAGTGAAAGTAGAAACTTGTACCAGTGGAAAATTCAAGTTGCAGACATATATAGAGTCGTATAATGAATCAGTAAAAATTTAAATTTGCAAATGTAGAATCGTACCATAAAAAAACTTATCTTTTAAAAAAAAAGATAAACAAGATGCCAAGTCCATGCGCCATGTAAAAAAGAAATAAAAAAATTTTAGTTAAAAAAACTGGGCGCGCTGCTAAGTTTCAAAATTACAATGCACCTTAAAGTAACATTAATTAATTTAAACACAAAACATATTTTAACTGTAATGAGTTTAAAAGTAACAATTTAATTTTAATATTGTTAGAATATTATTTAGCAGCGCTCCCAGTTTTTTTAACTAAAATTTTTTTATTTCTTTTTTACATGGCGCATGGACTTGGCATCTTGTTTATCTTTTTTTTTAAAAGATAAGTTTTTTTATGGTACGATTCTACATTTGCAAATTTAAATTTTTACTGATTCATTATACGACTCTATATATGTCTGCAACTTGAATTTTCCACTGGTACAAGTTTCTACTTTCACTTGGCGCAATTTTTTTTTTATTCATTACTTTTGTTACGATTGTACATGAATTTATAATCGATAATTTTTCATACAATTCTATTGTACATGGGTTTGCAATGTAGGATTCTACATAAGTTTGCAATGGATCATTTTTAATACAATTCTACATGAGTTTGCAATGGTTAATTTTGCCTAGGATTCTACATGGATTTGCAATGATTAATTTTTTATAGGATTCTACATGGGTTTGCAATAGGATAGGATTCTACATGGGTTTGCAATGGATAATTTTTGTTAATGGCGTGCCCTTAACTGGTCGCCTTTTTTTACCTTTTTTTAAAGGTGAGTTTTTAGAGATTATATCATTCATTTTTGTATATTTTTATGACCGGAATAGAACAATTATTAAACATGTTTATCTAAATTTCTTTGCTTAAAATGATGTGTACAATCATATCCTAGAATCCTGATCATTCCTCCTAAAGCACCCTATTTATATAAATTTACCCATATGTGTGTGTGTGTGTGTGTGTGTACTAATGTCGAGCATTTTTTATACATTTTCTATTAAATTTAGATAAAAGTTGCAGGATTTCGAAAAAGAAAAAGTTGACACAGACTTTTTCCTAAACGGCGATTTTCAAGGTTATTTAAAGGTCACTTATATTTTCAAAATAGAATTACCTTAATTTTTCTCATATAAATCGATTCCTCGCAATATTTACTATAAAAAGTTGTAAAGGTATAATTTTTACATAATCTTACATAAACTTCGAAATATTACAAATATTTTATTCTATGAAATATTTCAGTTTATGTAAAATTATGTTAACTATCTTTAAATTATTCACTTTTAGCCATCTTACCCTTACAACCTTTTATAGTGAATATTGCAACAAATTGGTTTATATATATAATATATATATAACATCAGTTATTATTAAGGGGTAGGCCACTGTAGAAATTTCAAAAAATCGTTTTTTTTTTTTTTGCTTAAATGATGCTTTAAGATCTTAGAAATAAGAAAAAAAAGGTTTTATAACGGAAACAAATTCCTAAGTGTCATTTTTGGAAGTTACATAAAACTTTAAACGCGTTTTTCTCGAAATCACTTTTTTCAAACTGGGCGACCTCATAACTCCCACAAATCTTGACCGATTTACTTCAAATTTAAACTGTAGCTTCTAAGATACATTTGTCAGCGAACTACGTACGGATTTTACGTTCCGTTGTAAACTTTTTTTTTACAAACAATTTTGTGCAAAATTTTCGTCAAAAATGAAACTTTTTCTTCAAACTTGTGTCATTTTTACAAAAACAATTATTTTTTAATTTCCGTACGTAGTTCGCTAGCTAATGATATAAAGAATTAAAAAAAATTTGGTTTTTTGTTCTACAGCAAAAATTGGAGCAGCTAGTAGGTCGCCCGTAAGGCACTGTCCGAAACGAGTGGTCATCGTTGCAGAGCTCTGTCACCGCCATTTTGTAAAAAAAAATGCAAAAAAATTTTTTTTATATATTTCGAAGTATGTAAGATTAAGTACTTAAAAAGGATTTTATCAATGTTTTTGTTTTATAGTAAAAAATTATCAAAAATAGGCCTTTTTTGGGCGCTCTACAGTGGCCTAACCCCTTATGATGTTTACATTATTTTTAGACTTACTAGAGCTCTAAGCCTCCACATTTTTTGCAAAAACGGGTTATTCTACAGATTTCAAATATGCTTTTAATTGATGATTGAATATGTCCTTTTAATTATTTATTATTATTTTTGATTTTTTCTTTTTTTATTTTTTTTTTTTTTTTTCGCAAGCAACTTTATAACTTTAGTGCCAGCACGATACAAATACATGTGTCTTATTTTTTTTATTATTTTCAGTATTATTTTTCAATCTCAATAACTTTTATACCCTTATGCCAGCAGGATACAAATACATGTATGTCTTTATTATTGTTTCAACTCTTGTCTTGCCAGTAACCATGTCATTCATAGTTTGAAGTATCCCTTCATCTTCTCAATCTTTCGCAGAGAGTTAATGAATTAAAGACATTCACACGAAAGAAGTTTGCTGGAAGATATACAGAAGAGATAACTGTAAAAACATTGTTCGTGGAAGAAACAAGAGTTGGTACAGTAAAGGCAAGTAAGTAAGTACATGTAATGTATCGTATTGGCATAACGATATATCCGAGAGAGCAGGATAATGATGGCTGTAGAGGTAGTCTGCAGTGACGCTAAGGTGGACGTAGATGTGATGAGATAATTGTCTAATATAAAATAGAATTAAAAATTAGTTTAAAACAGCTGTTGCATATATAAATAAAGTTTATTTTTTCTAAATTTGGAATATGTTTAAGTAAGTAATTTTTTAATTTATGTTTAATAAATGTTTAGTCTGTATTCAATAATTTTATTCTTTGATAAATACATGTAATGTTTTATTTTGATATGTTTAATATAATAGAAATTCTTATTAATTAGATATGTTTTGTGTGAGAACGAGAGAGAGAGAGAGAGAGAGAGAGAGAGAAGAGAGAGAGATATAGAGAATAAGAGAGTTAGCCAACATAACCCAACATAACCCCGCACGCTGCCGATCATGAATGTAACAAATAAGTACCTAACGACGAACAGTGAGTGAGTAGTGAGAATGAGAGAGTTTGTGTGTGTTGCCTGTGTGTGTGAGAAAGAGAGAGAGAGA